ATAATAATAATTAAACATGGCAGTTTGTTCATGTTTTAACGTTAGGCTGCTGAAAGAATCATTTGCTCTTTTGTTTTTTTGTGCTTCCGATCCTTTCAGAAACGGACAAATGCGAGAGGGATGTCAGAAGCTCTTCAATAATCACACACACTATTATCATCAGCTCAAGAAGTTATTCAAATGTAGACATGCACACTAGTTCTCTGGAGAAAGTGAAACCGCTCGCACTTTAGATGGCTTTGTAAACAACGACAGGGCACAGAGTAGATTCTGCTCTTCATCTTGGATCTGTGGCTGTTCATCAAGATGAAAACAAGGTTTGCTTGAGCTCAGGTCGACCGTGGCTCGTTATTATATACATTTATTATTACTGTGTAATGTCTCAGCAGTGTATTTAAAAATGGTGCTTCCTTTGTTTTTATTCTCCTGGCTTGTGCATGCGCTAGTGAAGCATCTCTGTAAACCAAGAGCACTCAGCTGTATGTTTTGCTCTGCCTTTTAGAACACTTTTTTTTGTGCTAGGTACCCTTTTGAAAAGGGTACCCAAAAAATGGTACGGTCCGCTTTTTGGTACCTTCTGACAATGGAAATGTTTATAAAAGCGTACCATACCACTCAGTGGAAATAGGCCAATACAAAATAACTTAAGGTCACAGTGTAAAATAAAGATTGATAAATATTCGAACCTGGTTCGAGGCAGCATGGATATTATCATTGGACTCTGTGTGGTCGCCACGGTCGGTTCCTTGAGATAAAAAAATAAAACAAAATCAGTGTTGATAAAATACATTCACAGTCAAATCTGATCTGTCTTATACACACACACACAAATATATATATATATATATATATATATATATATATATATATATATATACACACACACCGTAAGGGTTCTCTAAATGTAAATCATCAAAGTTCACTTACATTTGCAAATTGGAGTAAAAAAAAACAGTAAATGAACCTTCTCATTCTGAAGTCATTTTCCACTTGGAATTATAAGGTTCTATCCGCCAGATCATTCATTGAAGCATTGCTTTTCAAGAAAGACAATCAAAAAATATATAAGTTGGTGTTGTAACAATATGTTGACGCTTAAGAAATTTTAATTTTTGCTTTCTTTAACATTTATTTCATGTTTTAAGATGAATATTTTTTCTTGTTTAAATTAAACATGCAAGACTGAGCTAAATATTTTTTCCAGCGCAGCTTTTAATTTTATCTAATTAATATGTTAATATTTATAAATTTTATGCTTAATATGAATTATTGAACTATTTTTATTGAATTATATGCCCCATGAATTAAATTAAGTATTTGCCCTTCAAGGCTTAAAATTAAATTGAAAAACTTTAAAAGAAATAGACGATGACCAAATGAGTTTAATAAACACTGAAAAGTGTATCGCTGACTATATGTAAACAAATTAATATATTTTCCATTTAATATATACATTTTAAAATATTAATTTCTTTTTCAACAATGTAAAACGTAACATTTAATCTCAATGTCGGTGATATATACAATCACCTCACAATAAGAAGGTCGCTGATTCGAGCCTCAGCTGGGTTAGTTGCCATTTCTGTGTGGAGTTTGCATGTTCTCCCCGTGTTCGGTCCAAATATAAGTTTAAATATGTGCGGTACAGGTGAAATGGGTAAGCTAAAATTGTCCATCGTGTATGTGTGTGTGAGTGTGTATGGGTGTTTGCCAGAGATGGGTTGCAGCTGGAAGGGCATCCGCTGCATAAAACATATGCTGGATAAGTTGCCGGTTCATTCTGCTGTGGTGACCCCAGATTAATTAAGGGACTAAGTCAAAAGACAATGAATAAATGAATGAATCTCAATGTCAAGAAATGCTTTTAAATCATCACATTGACACACATCTCAATTTTGTGTGGTGCGGCATTATTTAGCCGACTCTGATTTTGTATGATTTTGTCTTTCTTGTTTCTCCCGCTGTCAATAGCCGCATTTTGGACATAAACACTTGTTTGAGGACACAGAACACATTTTTCCCTAATGCGTTTAAAGCGGCGCTGCGCAGGACTGGGTGACAGAAAAAAAAAGTAGGCTATATTCTGCTTTTACTCACCCAAAAAATGCTCTGTTTGCACGATTTGATTAATATTATCATATCCAAACACTTTATAAATAATATTTCAAACCTTCTCCGGTGTTTATTGTTTTTAGAAATATCTAAAATCTTTTTTTTTTCAGATAGGTCTTTGTAAAATGAAAGTTATATGTGGCTTTAAAACAGTTTGATTTATGTATTGTATAGGCAACCTACTTTGTTATAGCTAGCTTTTGTTTATTTTATATTGGTTTATTTTTTTAATGCGATTTTAATATATCCGATATTTGTAATTCTTTAAATTATATTTCAATATAGCTTAGGCTATTTTATCAAGATATGACAATATATTGTGTAAAGTCTACGAAAGTGGGCACATAATTTGTTAAGTTTTATGTCTTTCTGTTGTATATTATCTCCAAAATAAATTTTAAAAAGCCGCGCAGCATCAACACAGCTGTAAAGGGAGCGCTCTTTTTCTCTCACACACACATACAGGAATTTAAACGTGCACAAATACACCTTTTAAACTTGACAAAAACTCTCGAAAACCTTTACTGTCTGCTGTGTCTTTAATATGGTGTGAAAATTATAATGCGTTATTGAAACATCAAGGAGGACGCAGCAAAGAACGTCACTATAAATTAAAACTACTTTATTATTTTATGCAACACCCTTACATTTAAAAGGGAAACATAAGGGTGATCATACGCAAAAAGACCCCATTAGGCTAGATGTTTTCTTTTCCTTATTTATTGATTTGTTTGGCGCATGTACTCATGTGCGATCCGAAAACTGTGCCCGCCTCTTCTTTCACTCCGCCCCGAAGCCCCAGTTGGCCCTCTTTGGCCCAAGATATTCGGCAGTTTGAAAAAGGCCGGCCGCTGGCCCCAAGAAAGCTCCGATTGTTTTAAAAATGCTGATGGCTCACAGAAAGAACCTTATAGAGCCAAGCTAGAGGTCGACTTTGTAGATAAAACCTTTTTTGTTTTTTAAATAAAAAGTCTTAAAATGTAAACAATTTATTAATATTATTTGATCTTTTATTTATAAGTTGTCATTTAACAAGAATATGTCAATAACTCAATTTTGACAAATGTCAGATAGAACCTTATAATTCTAAGGTGACGATTTGTTGAGTGTGCTTAGTATTTCCACAGTTCACTTTACCACAGTTTCAATGATGAAGAGTTTGTGTTGGTTGACAACATCTTTAACACATTCAACTTAAAACAACACATACTGTTACAATTTGAGCTATTTAATATCACCATCATTCACTCACCATCAGTTTCAGCTGCCTCTCGTGCCTCTTTTTCCAAACGCTGTCTCAGAAGCTCTTGCTGTTTGGCCAGGTACTGCTTAATGAAGCTATTCTGACTCATTTCCTCCCCGATCTAAACAAACACACACGCAATGCAAAATGGTATGAGTGCTGTAGTGCAGTTAGGCCATCCAAACAAGAACAAATTTATTTCAACAATACATCACAGATCAGCTCACCCGGGAGTTGGGCTGCAGGCCAATGTGTGGAGTGGAGGTTTTCTGAAGGTTCTCCAGCATGAGAGCCTGTTGCACATGCAAAATAACAGAAACACAATTCAACATCTGTACTAATATGCAATACTGCGACTTGTGCACTTAAAACTTACATTTTCAGGTGGTTCTAAACATTTATGAGCGTTTTCCTTTTCCTGAACATTATTTATAATATAATGTATAAAATCATTTACATTATTTATAATTTTGGATAACAGTCTACTTTGACTTCCGTTGTGTAAAATAATATGTAAGCCAATGGGAAGAAGCAACCTTTTGGTTACACGTGATCAACAAAAAACGTCTGTTTATCGGAGTAAACGAATACAGGTTTTAAACAAGTGTATGGCGAGTAAACGATGTCAATTTACATATGAGAGAAATGTCTCTTTTACGTTATGAACACATTAATGAGCAGTCATTTGTTTATGGTATGAGGATTGCATAGACCCGACTGAACGATCGGCAGTCATCGTGAATCCAAAATCATATCACTTACATGGATTAATGTATACTCTAATTTCTTCATATCCCAAAATAAAAAATTGCACAAAATGTGATGAAGAATCTAATCGTGAAGGTGACAGACATTTGTTTACATCTGTCCAGTAACAGAAACTTCAGATCAAACTTCAAAGCAGCTGTGGCGCGCGACACATCAATCAATCAAATCCTCCCACCGACGCAAAGCAACCGCTCTGCGACTTCACTGTTTGTTTCAGCAAAAGCACATGCCATTCAAGCGTTAAGACGTGTTTAGTCTTTCGAAAACGTCATAAAAAAATAAAAACAGACTTTTTGGCAAGCGCGTCCCCGTTTCATAACCCCCACCCCCCTAACACCTTATGCACTAACAAAGCGCGAGCCCGCCGACAACTTAAAAAGCTCGCAGTTCACAGCCATCCAGAGACTTGTAAACAGAAGCGCATCGCCAGACCCCGCTGCGAGGTCTGCGCCCTCCCAAAACTCTAATGTACGGCAAATAAACAGCACTTTTGCAAGTCACACACAAACGCACAAACAGGCATCAACGGGGGGAACATGATGACACTCTACAAACTGGATGAGCACCCCAGCTAGTGCGCGCTAGCAGCTAGCGAGAGACCACCGACGCTCGGCCTCCCAATCACGGTCCTCGGACTCCGCGGAGCCGAGAAACCAGCGACTCACACTTACCCCTTTGAGTCTCTTGACGAGGGCATTTTTCTGTCCGCTCTTCGGAAGCCCTCGCTCTTCCAATGCAGCCTTCAAGTCCGCTACCCGGAGCGAATGCAGCGGCCTCCCGTCCAGCGTAACATCTTCGAGGTCCGCCATCTTGATTCCCTTCACTCGTTCTGTAGCTTGCGCGGACCGCAACGCCTTCCTCATTGACGTCAGCGCGCAACGAGCGTTTCCGGAAAAGGCGGAGTTGAAGCGCACTCAGGCAGAACAACATCAAGTTGTTTGTTTGGTGTTTTATCAGGTTAACAGGCAGTATACATGCATTTTTGCGTTTAGATCACATTAGGCACGATTAGATCGCACATTATTAATTGATTTTCAGACATTAGGCAAGCAAAGAGGATATTCTCTGGTAGTCAGCTGTTGGTTTGCCAACCAATTTTCAATAGAAACCCGGTAAACATTGTTTCATTTATTCGCCTTAAAGTAGTTCCAGTCAAGTACTTATGAGTTTGATTTGTCTTTTGAACACAAAATAAGTGTTTATTCTTCAAAAGTGGGCTCAAAAGAAGAAATTCAAAGAGGTTTGTACAAGGATTGAGTGAATAATAACAGAAATTAAAATTTGAATGAACCATCCCTTTAGTTCTGTGTTAATCTTGTTTCATATTCTCAGAAAATCAGGTTGGAATACTGAAAAGTGTTCAATATTGGGGGCGGGACTTTAATGCACATTAATCTACTACGTTTTGGTGTTTGAAAATAATAATCAGCATCAATAAAAATTCTAAATTTAGTCCTCTATATTACTCCGAATGTATTAATGAATTAGTATTTTTTGTTCTTTTTCAATAAACTAGATTTTGGATTTGATATTGTGTTCCCAAGTGGCGCAGATTCAATTCATTTATTCGGTTCTTTTGAACTGCTCGTTTAAAATGATTCAGTTTAAACGAAATCAACTCAAAGCAGTTTAGCTAGCTCTTTTATCTTTGGCTGTAAAGTGTTATTATTGTAACGTTTTGTACATTCATCATCAACATATGCTTCACTAGCTATACTGACAAGGTCAGAGTCGGTACCGAACCACTGGTAATCATTCCGTTTTGCCTGTTTATATTCAGTGAAGTGCCAGTCAACTTTATTTTTTATGAACCATCACAAGGACCAGGGTTTCAGCAAAAAATCTTCAGCTCTTTTTAGGGAAATTAAAGTCAAACATAACGTTACAACATTGGGTTTCCAAAGGGTGAGTAGATTAACATAAAATGCTCATTTATGGCCGTCAACTACACTTTAAAATGTCGTTAATTTGATCAGCGCCTGCTTGAGTTCGATTCTTCAGCGAGATGTCAGCCTGGCTTTGTAAACTGAAAAGATCCGATCCACAATGATTCGTTGGGGGTAGCAGGAGCTCCATGGCAGATGATGAAAGCGGCAGCGGCTCCGCTTGAGCTTCTTTGCGGCTCCTCGACCGTATTTACTGTCTGGTTACCGACGATAAAAGCAACAGCCTGATTTTTTTTCGACGTAATGTGAGAAAAATCGACCAAGAAAAGGGTAACATTTTGATTCAAGTGACTCGTTACTCGTTTGTTTTGGTTAGCGAGCACAGTGTGTCTTGACAAGGAAGTGAATACATGTATCCTACTACAGTCATTGTAACATGCAAATTTTATATTTTAACGAACCGAATTATGATGTAGGCCTACGTGGTTTAAATCTTCCAGTTATTAAATCGCACAACAGCATCAAGGCAATCTGTTTCTTTTAGATTAGTTCAGTAGCACCAATGATAAACTGTTGATATCCTCCTTTTTATGTCATTATGCAGAAATGGCTTGGTTCCACCATGCTTTGCAAGGCTCGGGCCAGCCAGATGCACCCACCGTGGAAGATGTGTCCCATACACAGGTCTCTATGCACACCATTACCCAGTTAGGAATGTCTGATGGACAAGGTTGGTCAACCCTCCCTTCGGTCTCCATCTCAGACTTTCCCTCTGCCTCAGGAGGAATTGTCCCCCAGCGACTGGAAGCTCTGTCCTGCACATCTCTCAGCATGGGCTCCAGACAAGATCCTGTGCCGCTGTCTTTTGTGACGCTTCAGGAGCAAAGATGTGTGCTCAGCTGGTTTTTGGGATGGAATGTTGCTCAGAAACAACGCTTTCTGGAAGATCTGATCTCAAAGGCTGTACCTGGAAAGGTGTCTAGTTTATTAGACCAGCTCAACACACTACAGGTGCTTTATTTTGGGTCTATGTCAAACTTAATAGCTTTGTCTTTGGTGGTTGATTTTTCTGTAATTAAAGGTTCAGCCACCCACCATTATGTTGATCTAAACCATTGAGAGTTTTGTTCATCTTCAGAACACAGATTAATATATTTTAGATGAACTTCGAGAGGTCTCTCGTTCACCATAGACAGCAATTGTCCCGAATCGTTACAAAAGTCCAAAAAGGTACGACAAAAATCCTCAAAACCAAACATATGTTGTTGCAGTGGTTCAATCTCAAGATTATTAAGCATTGAGAATACTTTTGTGCACACATGAAACAAAAATAATGACTTGATTCAACAAATGTCTTTTCAGTATAGGGTGTGTGCGTTCATATGCACTGTGCAGTGATGTATACCCCAAAATCCTGCACATGATTTTCTTTGTGTGAAAGAAAGCTCAGGTGAATCTGAGGCTTTTGTCAGAGGTACGACACGCATACAAACGAAAGGACAGCACCCCTGTGAATGCATGGTCTAATACTGACACTAATGCCTAGTTCACACTAAAGGATCTTAAGCCTGATTTGAGCCCGATTTGGAAGTTAACGAGCTCGCCGACAGATCGGGCTGTGATCAGGAAGAAATCTGCGGGTGCTCGGCGCTCGGCGCTCTTTATGTGTGAACTACTGAACAACGCATCAACGAGGCTCGCTGGCGCGTCGCCGACACCTCGCAGACGGAAATCCAACATTTAGCATGCTAAATATTCCAGAGCAGTCGGCCGACTCAACCCCACGTGTGGTCAGATGTAGTGACGAGCTGCAGCCAATGAGAGAGCATATCAGCATGAGCTGAATGCCTGTGTGTTCAGGAGCTCAGCAGAAACATCTGTGATTGGTCAGAATGGGCATCGGTGCACTCGCTTGATTCTACGTTAACACAGACATGAGAGTAGGCTATATTAACAGTGGAACTAGAATTCTGTAACTATTAAAATTACCATACTGCTCATTCTGACCGTTCTCATATAAAACGCCATACTGTCATATCATATTTACATTCAAAGCTATTATTGAGATATTAAAATTAAGCTTTGAATGTCTGGCATCATATTTAATGACACCATTACCCTAAAAATATAATCTTTTTTTTGGTAATACAGCCTATAAATATGTAGTTAAGATACTAAAACACTTAAAGGTCTTGGCTTTCATTTTCACTTTCAAACAGGAGCTATTCAGCACAGAATATGCTGTTTTGAAAGATATCTGAAGTAAATTGATGTTTTTGCCATCAGAAAGTTTTGTTTATGTTAGCAGGAAGAAAATGCACACATATTTAAAGTCACAGCGAAAAGTATCAGACATGCATGCAGTCATTTTGACCAATATGGTAATTTAAGGCAGAAATGCTCAGTTCTTTACTGTTTTGTAATAAAAAAAATAACAATGTCAGAAAGAAATACACTGATAGTTAGAAAGCGGCAGGGTGTTATAAATATGTTAGTTTTTTTTTCCAAAGAGTAATAAAATTACAAACTCTCTGTGTATCTATCCACTGGAACCTGCAGATGAGTGATTAATCCGCTGATAAATCAGCTGATTTGAGATGTTTTTAAATGCTTTCTCCAAAGCTTGAAACGCTGTCAGTGATGTAATCAGCACACAAGCAGCCAATAGTGTTCAGCTTTTTCTGACGAATCCTCCCTCAAAATTTCATTGGCTGTGGTTTGGTAGCTTAAATGAGCTGATGGGGAATGAGTTGTTGTCAGATCATGTAGTGTGTGACCCCCCTCTTGTGGATCATTCACAGAGTGTTGCGTAGTGTGAACACCACAGAGATTAAAAGACACAAAGTCAAGTCATGTAGTGTGAACGGCACAGCGATCTGCCGATGTTTAAAATCCTGTAGTGTGAACTAGGCTTAAGGAGAAGAAACTGGTCTGTTTTTAGCATGTTTCTAGTATTTTTCTGGACTTTTAATGTCTATAGAGGATGAGGGGGCTGTCAGATTTGATCTTAAATATTGCAATTTGTGTTCTGAAGACAAACAAAAGTAAAAAAAAAAAAAAAAAGAGGGGAATTTTGGGGTGATTGAACACTTTTATGGTTTAGCTTACCTCAAAATTAACATCTTCCTAATTTACTTACCCTCATGCACAACACTTTTGTTTCTTGGAAGCTTTTTGCCTCAACTTTGAGTGTTTTTTTTAGTCAACTTATTTCTTGTCGTTTTCTTTTCGATGTTTCAGGTGAACGATCGCCCTCCCAACATTTTTGAATGCCAGTTAAGACTGTGGACTCAGTGGTTTGATTCATGGAGTGAAGAGGAGAGAAATGCCTTTTTGAACTGCTTGGAGGAAAAGGACCCGACTTTTGTTGCGTTCTTCTATAACCAAGTTGCCGGAACGGCAGGCAGAGATTGAGAGTTTTCATAAAACAATTTTTGGTTCTTTGCCTTTTTCACTCTTGTAGGTGAACACGAAATCAAGTCTTATGGACAGCTAAAGGCTTTCAGAACAGCAATGTGACTATTTCAAGTATAATGTAAAACGTTTTTCTAAAATAAAACCCATTTTACCATGTGTGTTTTTCCTTGAGCACTTTATTTTAATGTTACCCAATAAAAAAAGTCATCATTTGCTAACCCTCACAAAATCTCATTAATCTTTGGAAAACACACAAGGATCATTTCAAAGGGATAGTTCACCCAAATAAAATAAAAATACTGTCTTTATTTACTCACCCTTACATTTCTTACAGGTTTTTTCTCTGTTAAACACAAAGGAAAATATTTTGGTAACACTTTATTTTAATGGTCCCTATTGCACATTTTGTTGACTAAAAGTTGCAATCCAACTACATGCCAATTTTCATTTGAGTGTTAGTAGGCTGTTTGCTTAATATTTGTTAATACTGCTTCATCAGCAGACTTCACCAAACTTTGCGAGTACATGTTAACTTACACTAACCCCAACCTAACAGTCTACTTATAATCTATTGAAAATTAGTTAGCAATGTAAATTAAACTGACATTCAATAAAATGTCATTGAAGAGATCATCAAAATGATACCAGTATTTGAGTAATGGTTCCTGTATTTATTGACTTCTGTAGTATTTTTATTCCGTAGCACTATGTGTATCAAAAGCTATGTTTCCTTTCAAAAATCCAAATTAAAATATGTGCAAACTGGAATACTGCATAAAAGATGTACAAATAAAGCACCGTTTCCATCTAATGAGTCTAAGGCAGGGATGGGCAAACTTGATCCTCGAGGGCCGGTGTCCCTGCAGAGTTTTGTTCCAACACTAGTCAAACACTCCTGAACAAGCTAATCAGTGTCTTTAAGATCCCTAGAATCTATAAGCAGGTGTGTTTGATTAGAGTAGGAGCTAAACTGTGCAGGACACCGGCCCTCCAGGACCGAGTTTGCCCACCCTAAGGGAACAATATCTTCACTTCCTGATTAACTGGTGCCAACAATCAACAGTAAACTCTGATTTTTCTGCGTTAGGAGAAGCTGCATGAATCTTTTACTTATTTAATAAATGACTTGCATCTCAGAAGACAAATGCCGACATGCAATGAACGTGTGGTGGTGTTTGAAGGCATGAGATGCAGAGTGCAGACAGTTCTGGAGATCAATAATAATATAATAATTAAAATACTGAAACAGTTTAGATGTTTTACAATGTGCTTCACCTGCTAGTTTGTCCATTCACACACATTTTTATCATCTTTAAACAATGTTTGGTAAAATTGTGTCATTTTTTATGTGCGTCTTTACTTTTCGAATAAAAAGTTTATCCTACTCAGTTATGCACATACGTTTTTTTATGCCCATTTTTAAAATGTATGCACATCATGGCGTTTGCATCAACTGATTTTTTTTTATGTGCATAAACAAAAATGTGCATAAAAATAGGTGGATGGAAACATAGCTAACGTTTACCAAATTCCAACATTCTTCCAGCAAAACAGAACAAAAAACATGGAACAGGTTTGGACCAAGTGAAATGTGAGTAAATGATGACAGAATTTTCATTTTGGATTAACTATCCCTTGAATGAAAATCTGAAAGTCTGTTCTTTTGAACGTCTGTTCACCCAAAGCATTTATAAACCAATAAAAAAAATCTGAATTGATCAGAATAATACACTTCTACTGAACAGACATACTACCTTTTAAAATGAGCAAAATTTGTTCTGTACAGCATCAAATTTGACCAATGAACCTCTATCAAGAAGAATCAAAAACACTGACAAATTTTGCAAAACATTTGCTTTTAAGTTCTACACAAATAAATCTCATACATGTTTGAAATAATATGAGGTCAGCTTAATCCCTTCATTTACCCACAGTGAGGAACATGAATTGTTTTTTCACAATTTCAATGTTTTATTTAAATGAAAGATTATTTCAAATTAAAATGCAAGCATGCAGTTTAGAGCAGTAACAAACTGCAATTTTAAAGCAAAGAGCATTTTTTTTTTCAATTAAAACCAGACTCCAAGTATATGGAGATCATTCCAAGAGCAAGAGCCATTCGGGTAATTGAGGTTCCCTTAAGATCAATGGAGGCTCATTAATACTGGAATCACTGCAGGTTTCAATATACGGATAGACTTTTTCCTTCAGGTCATTGCCAGTGAACTTATAGATGATAGACTTATTTTCTGCATTATATAAAGCTACCTCATTATTTTTAAAGTTCACCTGGACTCCAACAACAGAAGGTGTTTTGGCAATGTTAAGCCGAACCTCCCTGTCATCAATAGCTACGAGCGTACCATCTCTTTTCTTCAGAATAACCCAATAGCCGGCTGAAGGGCTGTATCTTAGGATGCCTTTCCTCTGAACGGACTCTCTGGCCACTCCAACAACATAACAACTTCGTCCTGCCACCCCTATTTCCCAGTAATGCTTTCCGGTGTTGAAGCCAAATGTAGCGAGAGCTGCAATAGCCGTGTCGTAGCGTGCAGGGGTATCTCTTACAGATTGAGGCAGTAAGGAGGTTCGTGCTTCTTTCTTATCCTGCGACAGAATGAGTCTGCGGTGCGCAGTGTTTGCGTCAAAACTCGGCCATTCTGATGAGGAACACATTTTTTTGTTAGTTTAGTGCAGATAGGATGGAACTAGATGAGTCTCAAAAATAACACATTTACAAAATAACATTCAAACATGCACAGCACAATACACATTTACAAAATCCAATTAGTGATTTCAGAACACAATTCATTGGTACAACACACAGTTCGTCAATTCAAGTTATTGATTTGTGTATTTTTTTAATCGTGGTTTGAATTTACAAATTTGATTGGCATATTTTTGAATCGTGTTTTGAATTTTTTAATTGGATTTTTGAATTTTTGAATTTAAGAACTGAATTAGCATATTTTTGAATCGTGTTTTGAATTTTTGAATTGGATTTTTGTTTTTTGAATAATGTTTTGAATATAGGAACTGAATAAGCATATTTTTGAATCGTGATTCGAATTTACGAATATGATTTGTGTGCTTATGAACAAGTTTACGAATTGTGTATTTAATTTACAAATATGATGTTTATTTTTGAATCAAGTATTGAATTTACGAATTGGATTTGCTTATTTTCAAATCATGGTTTAAAGCTATGAACTGCATTCGCATATTTTGAAACGAGGTTTGAATTTACGAATTAGATTAGTAGATTTTTTTAATCATGTTTTGAATTTACAAATTAAATTTGTGTATTTTTAAATCGTGTTTTGAATTTACAAATAGAATTTGTGTCTTAACGAATTGTGTTTTGAATTTACAAATATATTTTGTGTATTTTTGAATCGTGTTTTGAATTTCTGAAATGGATTTGCATATTTTTTATATCATGTTTTGAATTTAGGAATTGGATTTTGTAAATGTGAATTGTGTTATGAATTATATTTTCTCAATATTTTATTTCTGAGACTAATCTGGCTCTATAGATAGTAGCTAATTGTTTGTTTGTTTATTCTGAATATTATAACCAGACTGACAACTTACCTTTCTGAGGGAGTTCCTTTTTTTCTAGATGAGTTCAAACAGAAACATAATAATACATTGTTAACTTGGAAAATAAGTAACAATAAAAAAAACATTTTCCTCATAATAATATATCTTACCCTCAGCTTCCTCCAATTTCTTTTTTGTCTCATCAAGTTCTTCTTTAATTTTTTCTTTCTCATTGACCACATCTAAAACAAAATATGAAAACTGTCATGTTTCTTTTCACATTTATCAACAGCTTTTATGTTGTTTTCCCTGCATTTTACTCACCCTTGTATTTCTTTTTCTCTTCTTTAAGCTCTGTATTTATATCATCATTTTCCTTCTGTAGTTTAGTAACTTCTTTCTCCTTCTCCTGGAGTTTCTGGCTCTTCTTAGCAAGGTCTTCATTTTGCGTTTCAACTGTTTTTTTTAAGTCTAACAAAGCAGATGAAAATATTTCTATTCACTTTTTGAAAAAATACAAATGAACAGGTTTGAATGCTCAATATAAGATATAATTATGAAATATTAAGCAGCAGAACACATCCAAATCTACTGATTGGGCAATGTAAAAAGGAAGTAGTCATAGGCAAATTTATTAGCCCTCCTGTGAAATTTAGCATGATAATTAACGGAGAGGACATAATAGTTTTAATAACTAATTTTTACAGATTTATTTTGTCTTTTCCAGTCACAGTATATAATATTTTACTAGTTTTTTTTTCTCAGCTTAAAGTGCGATTAACAGGCTTAACTAGGTTAATTAAGCAATTCATTGGACAAACGGTTTGTTCTGTAGCAGATCTTACAAAATTAAATTGTTAAAGGGGGCTAATAATATTGAAACAAATGTTTTGATTATACAAGAATATCTTCAGAATAAAACAAAGAGAAGAAATTCTATAAAAATAAAATATCATACCCTGTTAAATATCATAAAAATACTTCCAATATCTCAGGAGGGCTTTTAATTTTTCCTTTAACTGTATGTAAAAATGAAGATGCTGAAAATGTAAAATTAGTGATGACAAGGAGCCAGAAATTTGCAAATATAACCATACCATTGATTTCATCTTGCAATTTATTTTGCAAATTATTTTTCTCCTCTGTGATTTTTTTTAGTTCATCATCGTGTTGCTTCTGCTTTTGAACTAAAACAAACAAACAAAAACAGATGGAATTACAATACAGCATATTGTATATTGAAAATTCATTCATCCATTTTTCTCCAGCTTAATCTCTTTATTCATCAGGTGTCGCCACAGCGGAATGAACCGCCAACTTATCTAGCATATGTTTTACGCAGCGAATACTCTTCCAGCTGCAACCCATTACTGGTAAACCCCCATAAAGTCTTAAGGCCAATTTAGTTTATTCAATTTACCGATAGGGCATGTCTTTGGACTGTGGGAGAATCCAGAGCACCCGAAGGAAACCCACAAGAACATGGGGAGAACATGAAATGAACATGGGTAGAAACCCCACACAAAAATGCAAAAAGACCCAGTCGGGACTCGAACCAGCTACCTTCTTGCTGTGAGGCGACAGTGCTAACCACTGACCCACCGTGTCACCCAAATTGTGAAAATATAATAGGTAAATAGTTTATTTAATTAAATTTTCTATTGATAATTATGTAATTCAAGACTATAGATGTTATTCTTACCCAAGCGCTCATTTTCAGCATCTGCTTTCTTCAGTTTTTCTTTGGTGGTAGCAAGTTGCTGGTCCTTTATTTTAAGATCTGTCTCTAGCTCTGAAAAACAAAAGTTCATATTTATTAACATCAGTGGACCGATGAGCCAAATATTCCTCAATTGAATCATTTCACTGACCTTTGCTTCTCTCCTTCACTCTTCCAAGCTCCTCTTTCAAACTGTCTCGTTGATCTTTCACTACATTAATATATTCATCCTTCTCCTTCAGAAGCACATCTTTTTTAGCAAGTGCATCGTCCTTCAATTGCAACTTGTCATTTAAAGCTGAAAGAAAAAAAGTGCAGGCAGAAAAATTACATGAAAACATGAAACAATCTAATGAATTCTGTTAGTTGAATTGCTGACTTCAGTGGAAAAGGTGATAACTATGCACAATTGCCTTTGCATATATTTTCCTTCCCTACTTCAACGTTTTTTTTTCCTCAGTACATTAGCGTGTCCTGTAATTTTATTCAGAACAAAACATAATGACTTATTTTCCCCCAAGATTTAAAGAAGGCACTTTTTAAAATGTATATTATTTTTTGTATATATATATATATATATATATATATATATATATATATATATATATATATATATATATATATATATATATATATATATATATACATATATGCAGTTGAAGTCAGTATTATTAGCCTCCCTTTGAATTTATTTTTAAAATATTTCCCAGATAAAGAGCAAGGGAATTTTCACAGTATGTCTAATAATATTTTAAAAAGTAAGCAAGGCAGTTTTAAATTAAAGAAAAAAACATTTTAAGGTCAAAATTATTATAGCTATATATTTTTTTCGATAGTCTAAAGGGCAACCTATCCGTTATACAATAACTAGCCTAATTACCCTAATTAACCAAGTTAAGTCTTTAAATGTCACTTTAAACTGTATAGAAGTGTCTTGAAAAATATCTAATCAAATATTATTTACTGTCACTATGACAAAGAGTTATTAGAACTATTATGTTAAAAAATTTGTTTAGAACAAAAAAAAACTATAGTATATTAAAATGTATTATTTAAAGATCAAAGTGCAGCCCCAAAATAGAAACTAATTGTTATTTCATTTTAAATCTTAAATAGTTGACACTGTCCTTAAAACTTTGGATTCCCCTGTTCTTTAGGAAAAATAATTCTCAATAAATTGAAATATAATATTTAGTATGATCACTACTAAAAATAAATTTGAGCAAGTATAGGTCAGAGGTGACATTTTTATTTGTACCTATACTGTATATCTGTGTAACTGACGACTAATGATGTCAACTAATGATAAAACATTACCTGGCCAATATTATGTCATTTTATGTTATTAAAGTTATTTAAAATATAAAAATGAGACAAACAGCAAAATTATAAGTCCAATGCACTCGAAAAAAAGTGAAAAATTATTTTAAAAGCTTTTATTAACATGACTATTCCATTAAAACTACACCAACATGTTAAAAATAAAACAAAAAATAATATATTGAACAAAAAATAAACTCAATAGTAAATTATTCATTGATGAAAGAGAATTAATGACTATTAAATGAATGGCTATTGAGTTGATTATGTGTTTAATATATTATTTTTGTACTGCTTAGATATTCTATTGAATCGTTTGATCATAGTGTTCAAACAACTCCAGACACAATTAAACTCTGTTACTCTGATGAAGGCAAGTGTTTGCTAAAACGCGTAGGTGCAGTTTTAATGGAATACTTACTTACTCCCAGGGCCGTTTATATCGAAGTTAATATTTAGCGGGACTATGTTGGTGTTTCATAATATCTAGTTTTTATGAGGAGGGTTGTTAGCCCAACACTCAACCCCCAACCTGGAGGACCAGGACTTACACACATACACTACAGACAATTTAGCTTACCCAATTCACCTACAGCACATGTCTGTGGGGGATACTGGAGCACCCGAAGGAAACTCATATGAACACAGGGAGAACATGCAAACTCCATCTGACCCAGCCGGGGCTCGAACCAGTGACCTTCTTGCTGTGAGGTGACAGCGCTACCCACTGAGCCACCATGTCACCCCATTTTAACGGAGTAGCCATGCTAATAAAGGCTTTTAAAATAAGTTTTACTTTTTTTCTCTGTGCCTTGAGCTTTCAATTTCATTGTTTATCTTTATGTATCCGGTACCCAAAGAGCACTGACACATTAATTATCCCTGAAGCACTTTTTGTCACATTTATTTTAATATTTACTTTAATATTTATTTACTAATAATATTAACTTTAACTTTCTATGTATTTTGTTTGCTTTATAATTTGTAATTATTTAATCATAATAATTTCTGCAGTCAAAACCTCATAATAAATTGAATGCTGTGTTTTTGGGGTTTTGTGTGGTCATACCGGCGATTTCTTTTTCTGCTTTCTTTAGCGCGTTGTTTTTCTCATCTGTGATTTTATCTATTTCATCATTCAGACTGTTCAGCTTTTTGACTAAAATAAAAGAGAAAGAAATAGTTATTGGAATGACAACAATGCAATATGGAATCAAACATAAATGTGAGGTTGTTTCATTTGTGCATGCTTTGTTTTTCTGGCAACAATGGATCGTTTTCTTACTCAATGCAGCGTTTTCAGCATTTGTCTGCTCCAGTTTGTCTTCAGTTGTGGCAAGCTGCTGATTCTTTCTGCTAATTTGTTTCTCCAGTGCTGCAAAAATATATATTTTATATGTAAAAAACTAATTTCATTTATTATTTATAGCACAATTTTAGCTGGAAAACATACATGCGATCTGATCGTCTGATTCTTGCTGTAGTTTTTTCAGCTTTTGTTTGCTTTCTTTAACCTCCTCCTCTAATTGCCGTATCTTGTCCTCTGTTAATAAATAAAGAAGCGGCATGTAAATAACAATTTAATAAAATATGGACTGTTACTCGTTCCTGAAATACAATAATAATACAATAACTTCCAGCTTTTCCTGTGTACTTACTCAGATCCTGACCACAGTTGGCCTTCAACATCAAAATCTCTTTTTCTTTGTCATCTATTTGTTTCTTCAGACCTAAAACCATCAACAAAACAACTTTTAAATCAGTTTTTGCTTCTTCTTTCACTTAAAGTAATAATCAGCAATGTTTTGATGCAATATTGATGGATTCAAGTTGAACGTACCATTGATTTCCCGTGTGTATTTCTCTTGCATTTGTGTTTGTCCTTGCTTTAGTCTAGACATTGATTCCTTTAGAGACATTATATTCAGGGCTGTAGAAAAAAACATTTTCATTTTTATATTTGGAAGACTGACTTGTATTTAATGTAAACATTATATTTCAGTTAATATATTTCCTGCTAATCAAACCAGTGATGTTGGTATTACTGTTTAACTCGGAGCAACAGGAATGCTAATGTTAAACAGAATAAAAGAACGACCACAGGTTTATTACTTTGAAAGGAAATTAATCTCACCCAGTCCGAGCCCATTCTCAGAGTTTTGCAACTCACTGAGCAGAACATTTAATTTAACTTCCAGTCCTAAATGAAGAGAGCAACATCAAAAACCGATGTGTTCAAAGAGAAGAAATCAGTACACACACTAATTTGTTAAAACTCACTCTGAATCTTTTTGGAATTTTCTTCAGTTGGATTTTCTTCGAGTTTCCAGATCTCACTTAGTAACTGAAGTACATCCAGCGCTGTAATAAACCAAGTGTTAGTGTGTGGCGGTCTCTCTTCAGATGAAGAAAGCAGAGGATGCAGTTAAACTAAACTCACTTTTGGCAGATATGGATCCTTGAGCTCTTAACTTCCGCTTTGCCTCCTCCAATTCCCTTTCTTTTTCTTCCAGTTCTTCTATCAATCCTGACAAAAAATCAAAACACATAATAACCCGGCTCTTTTTTTTTTTTTTAAATTCATAAGAAGTGAAAGAGAAGATTGAGTTTTGGTTATTCTCAAACTATAAGATGTAAAGATTAAGATCGTTTTGTTCAACATTTCTTTTTCTTAACACTTTAATGCTCTAAAGAAACTTTTTCCACTTTAAATACCTTTTTGTGTGATCTGTGTACTGTATACTTCCAATAAAATCTGTCAAAAATGCTTCCCAAACGCAAAAAAAAAAAAAAAATATATATATATATATATATATATTTATATATATATATATATATATATATATATATATATATATATATATATATATATATATATATATATAAAATATATATATTAGAAATAAATAAGGATAGCAGATAAAAAAAAGATTTAAATTAATTTGAAAACCCTATTTACAGTATATACTTCATTGGGTACACCTTACTAATTGTGGTTTATACCCCCTTCAAAACTGCCTGCCTTAATCCTTCATGGCAAAGATTCAACAAGGGACTGAAAATATTACTCAGAGATTTTGGTCCAAATTGACATGATAGCATCACGCAGTTGCTGCAGATTTGTCGGCTGCACATGCATGATGTGCATCTCCCATTCTACCACATCCCAATGGAGCTCTATTGGAGTGGGATCTGGTGACTGTGGAGTCCATTTGAGTACAGTGAACTCAACTCTTGTCATGGTCAAGAAACCTGGCTGTGGCGTTGAAATGATGCTCAATTGGTATTACTGGGCCCAAAGTGTGCCAGGAAAATATTCCCCACACCATTACACCACCACCAGCAGCAGCCTTAACCGGTTTTACAAGGCAGGATGGATCCAAGCTTTCATGTTGTTGATGCCAAATTCTGACCCTACCATCTGAATGTTGCAGCAGAAATCAAGACTCATGAGACCAGGTAACACTTTTCCAATTTTCTATTGTCCAATTTCAATGAGCCTGTGTGATATGTAGACTCATTTTCCTGTACTTAGCTGACAGGAGTGGCACCCGGTGTGGTCTTCTGCTGCTGTAGCCTATCCACCTCAAGGTTTGACATGTTGTGTGTTCAGAAATGCTCTTCTGCATACTTTGGATGTAACAAGTGATAATTTAAGTTGCTGTTGCCTTCCTATCAGCTTGAACCAGCTTGCATGAAAATCCCAGCAGATCAGCAGTTTCTGAAATACTTAGACCAGCATGTCTGGCACCAATAACCATGCCATTTTGAAAGTAACTTAAATCCTCTTTCATCCCCTTTCTGATGATCAATTTGAACTGCAGCAGATCGTCTTGACCATCTCTACATGCCTAAATGCATTAAGTTGATGCTTTTATTTCTATTATTAGGCTTTTTAATTAGAATTAATAAATGATAATTTAATATTTCCCAAGTGATGTTTACCAGAGAAAGCTTTTTTCCTCACAGTAGTTTCTAAATCATTTTTTTTTGTTTAGGTTGGTATAAAATACATTTTTAAAAACAAACAAACAAATAAACAAAAATTAAAAAAAAAAAAAAAACTTAAAAATATATTTTTATTGGCTTCAGAACAAAAAACAGTGTTGTCCAGTGATTTGCCTCATCAACCAAACTTGCTTAGTTTTTAATTAACCCGTAGTTAAGCCTTTAAACGGCACTTTAGGCCCCATACTAGTGTCTTGCAAAATAATTAGTAAAACGCTATGTATTATCATTATGGCAATGACAAAAGAAATGAGTCATTATTAGAAATGAGTTATTAAATTGTTTAAAAAATGTATTGAAAAATCTTCTCTCCTTTAAACAGCAATTGGAAAATAAAAAATAGCATTACAGAAAGACAAATATTTTTTCTTTTAATCAGTTCGACTTACAACTTTTATATATGTGCTGCTTGAATCTGATTTTAATATAGATGTCGAGATGGATGGATGGATGTAGAGTAAGTTTATGTAATACTAAACTCAACAGACACCTTCATTACCTGGGAATCCTTGTGCAATCTGCCTATCCAGGTTCTCCACTTCATCGATTAGGGCTTTAATATAAAAAGCTGAAAACACCAACATTACACACAAGATTAAAGTGACAATATACTATAAGGGTTAAGTACTTGGACAAGTTTTAACACGAAATGTTGCATTTTGTGTGTATTTTGTTGCATAACTTAAAATGTTTTGAGTGCATTTTATCACTAAACCAATGCTTCACTCACCCTTCTGAAGAATATCACTGTTCAGTTTAGAAATGGTTGTGTTATACTCAGCCTGCATTTCTGCAAAGCAGCGAATATCCTGTTCAAACATCTATCCAACAATGTTTTGAGAGAATCGTTTAGATAGAGAGATAACATACCTTCATATTTCTTCTGGAGTTCAGGGCACTCAGAAGTGCCCACACAATTTTTTTTCAGCTCTAGTAAGAGATAAAATAAGTAAGATGGTGTTTTAAAGACAATGACTAAAAATGCCAAGTACAGTATTCCCGAAGGTGTTTGTGAAATGTGTTAGCTTACTTTCATTCTCCTTGAGAATTTCTTCATTTTCTTCCTCCTTCTTAATTAGTTTCCTTTCAAGATCTAAAAATAACAGCAGCAAGTTGTGGGATGTTATCTTTTTTTTATTTTTTTTTATTAAATAACGATTGATAGTTAACAATTAATAGTTGCCAGTAGTAAATCATGGATGTTTTTATTTTCACAAGCATTTGAATTTCACTATGGGGCATTGATTCATACTTGGACAACTTTTAGTGTTGAAAAGTTTAACAAAGTGACTTTTATTGACATTTTTAGTAGTTTGAATCAATATATTATCTGGGTTGTTCATGTAAATTACAATATAAAAACCGGGTATGAGCTGTCTAAAATGTTTAATTTTTTTATTTCTATGTATATTATGTCTTATATAATATATATTTTAAACTGTTAAAATTATTAAAGAAAGTCACTTTGCTTAACTGCAGAGTTACATTTTCAACATCTAAATTTGACAGACAACACATCACATAATTCAAAATCAAAAGCAGAAATAAAAACTGTATCACAAAGATACTGCTAAGTGTTAATTAACGCTGTTTTACCAATGTATTGTAACTGATGATGGATGAACTAAATGAAACTCACCAGTTATTCTGGCATTTAGTTGAGTTTCGTTGTCTTGTGCTTGCTTTTTCAAGGTCCTCACCTCGTCTATGAGATTGTTGATCTTAGTAACTAAAGGGAAAAAATGATCAGGTTAAACATTATACAGCAACGATCTGATGTTTAGACCAGACATTGGCAGACAAAAAGTGCACAGATGAATGTTTGATCATTTACTCCTCATCAATTATAAAATCATGCATTGTTTTCTGACTGGATGAATCTCTGTATGAATTGATTCACTTACCTTGTCGTGCTAGTAAGGCATTCTTTTCTTTCAGTGATGTATTGGCATCATGTAATTCTTGGTTACTCTGTTTAAGTTGTTCTTCAAGATCTGTGACGGAGAAAAAAAAAATAGGTAATATACCGTATTATAAAGTTAAAAAATAAAGTTATAAAAAAAATTAATGGGTGCTGTTAAACTGATGCGACCGTGATGAAAATTAGGGAAAGTTATTAGCCCTTTTGTGAAATTGTAATTATTTTTCAACAATTTCCCTTATGCTGACAACATTTCTTTTGTCTTTGCGACAATCACAGTACATATTTTACTAGTTATTTTGCAGCTTAAAGAACAATTTAAAGGCTTAACTAGGTTAATTGCGTTAACTAGGCAAGTTTTATTAGACAAGTCATTGGACAAGTGTTTTTTTCTGTAGCTAATCAGGAAAAAAACAATAATAATGAGCTAATAATAATGACCCTAAAATATTTGTATTTATTCCAGCCAAACTAAAATAAATAAGACTTTCTCCAGAAGAATGCTGTGAGAATTTCTTTGCTTTGTTGTACAATTTTACAGGAGGGCTATTAAATTTGCTTTCAACTGTATGCGTATGAAACCTTTAATCTTCTTCTTGGCGGTCTCTTCAGCTGTGCTTATTTGTGTTTTCAACATCGAAACTTCTTTCTTCAGCTGAGCAATGTCTCTTTCTGCAAATCAAGCATTTCAATTACAACTTGAAACTCTCTTTATATTGTTTCAGCTTCTAAAACTGAAGGATTAACTCACTTAGTTCGTTGACGTCTTCAATCGCAGTAGCTAATTCTTTGTTCTTTTCATTCAGCAATTGCTCCTTCTTGTCCAGTTCCTTTTGGAGTTCTGTAAAAAAGTCAGTGTACATGTAACAGTCATCCAAGCTAAGCAGTTTTAATCACTCAATGAGTGAGAATCTGTGTACTAATTAAAGCTTTTTAAAAGCATTGAAAGGTATAAATGCCAACCAGCTTTTTGGATCTGAGCTTGTGTTTTCACTGTTTGCAGCATTTCCCTTATCCAGGACACATCAGCCTGAAGAGCCAAGATTTGCAGCACTGAGACAGACAAAAATAATGCAGATCTGATTGTACATTTGGTATAATAAAATATAGAATAAATGATTTAAAACAGCATAAAAGTCTGTTCACACAAATATTGATATTTGTAATGAGTACTAATACTGGCGTCTACATCAATAGATGCTAACATTCTGCTTTTTTAAGTGTGTGATTCAGTTTTGTTGTCTGCTGCTTTAAGTGCTTGAGTTCCTTAAAGCAGGGTGTAAAGTCTGATTGGCTGATTTGAAGAACTAAAATGGAAGATTTTTTACATTGTTACTGTAAATTTGTGAATAAAGTGAAGTAAAAAGAATATTAATCTAATCCAATTAATCTAATCAAAAAGATTAAAAGATGCATTGGGTTATGATCACCAGCGATCCACTACCTGAGATCCCTGGTAAACACACTTACATTTACATGAACTACAATTTCATGCCATTTCATGGACTACAACTCCATACATGCACTCCGTTCACACACATGTTCTAGATCCAGACTGATTACACTCGCACAGCTGAAGCTGCTCAAGGACTGATTCATGGACTATAAGTACAAACACAAACACTGTTTCTGAGTCTTGTCTACTGTTTTTAGTGACATTACAACACGTTTTCCTTTGTCTTGTTTTTCCGTGTTTTTGATCCTCGCCTTGTTTATTTGCTTAATCCTGTTTGCTGCCTGCCTTGTGACCATCTCCCTGTTATTTTGACTATGATTCTGGTTTTCCTGTATACATCCCTAGTAGCAAAGAATTCTGGCCCAGATTTGGCATAAAGCTGGGACAGCAGGCATTCATCCGGCACTGGCATACAGCATGTAGGCGAACCATGGCCTGGGTTTGGCAGAGGTGGCACCGTCTATAATGTGGCATACAAGATTTGGGCCAGATGTAAAACATAGTATTTGGCCCAGATTTAAAAAATTGATTGTGGGCCACGTGAGTTTGGCCAGTCTTGACCCACATTTAAAATACATAAAAATAATTTTTGATTAAATAAATCAATTCTACCAATCAGGTCACTGAGAAAAAACAAGGCCCATAGTGTGCCTAAAGCACAACGCTTCATAGGTTTATTAATTTCATTGCAATCGTGACACAAACCTTTTTGGCCCAGTTCAGGCCCAGTTATGAGTTATTAACTTGGCTGAGACTTGGCCCAGATATGGTCTGTGTTTGGCCCTTGTCTGGAAGCCAGATTTGGTCCAGTCATGTACCGTAATTCACAGTGGCATGTGGGCCAAGCAAAACCTGATTGTGTGGGCCAGAGCTGGGCTAGAGAAATTTTGCTATGTGGGATCTGTTTGTCCCTGTGTTGACCACTGCTTGCCTGACCATTCTAATAAACCTGAATGTGCATCCTCACCCCTGTTGTGAGTGTCACTCCCCTGGTTACACATTGGTTTAAATGAAGACTCACTGATTTAAATGATCTGTTCAAAGTGAGTCTGTAAGAGCATAACAATACAATGATATAGATTTTGTCTCCATATTTTTAAGAGATAATTTTATTTTGACTCTCCACCTTTTCTTGTCTATCTACATATTGCTGCTAAAAAGTGCATTCTATATTCTCCATCACCACACTGTCTGCATGTGTGCCCCTTCAGTCAGTTTAAGACACACTTAAGAATCCTTTATTATTTATTTATCGTGTGTTACTTGGTTTTTTTAACCTCTTTCTACATTTTTTTATTGCATTATAAAAAATGCTGGGTATCACACAATTCCTTCATGCTTTCCAAACACAAATTAAGTTAACTTAATTGTTTTTGCAAATTTAAGATTTCAATGTATTTCAATGTACTATAAACAATGTTCTATGGACAAAGTTTCCCAAAAAAAAAACCTTAAGAATTGACCACTCATTTTAAATGAATAGTTTGAACAAGCAGCAAAAGTACATCTTGTCCGTCATCATGAGATAACAATGTTACTGGTTCTCTAAATTAAGCTGGTTCTCTAAATTACATTATATCATAACATCAATATGTCAGTGAATCAAACTAAATTAAAATCGTATGGCAGAATTTTCTTAAGTATCTGCAAATATTTTGTATTACTGGCTAAGAATATCCATATCATCCCGCATGACCAAATGTCCAATTTACACCATTAGACTTTAGCTAACATCTCAGTGATTCAATTGATCCAGTCAAAGTGAATCTCCATCTAATGACATCAATTGATCTGTTCAGACAAATGTTCAGAATAAATTGATCGAGTCAGAGTAAATTTTCAGTTAGCAATTCACTCATTTAAATGATCCGGCCAAGGCAAGTTTTCAGTAAACAAGAATCAAATTATAAAATCAGAGTAAGTCTCCAGTTACTGATTCACTGCTTCAATTGATCCAGTCAGAATGAATCTTTAGTTAATAATTTTCTTTATTTAAATTATACTGTCAAAGCGAGTCTCCAGTTACTGATTGATTCAGTTGATCCTGTTAAAGTGAATCTTCAGTTAAAACTGTACTGATCAAATGATATGCTCAGAATGAGTCTTAAATTAATGATTTTATGATTCAATTGATCCAGTCAGAATGAATCTTCACTTAACAATTTACTGATTTAAATGAGCCTGTCAGAAGAAGTCTCCAGTTACTGATTCAATTGATTCAGTCAGAGTGAATCAATCATTCATTCATTTTCTTTGCGGCTTAGTTCCTTTATTAATCTGGGGTTGACACAGCGGAATGAACCGCCAATTTATCCAGCATATGTTTTATGCAGCGGATGCCATTACAGGCGCAACTCATCACTGGGAAACATCCATACACTCTCATTTACACATACACTACAGACAATTTAGCTTACCCAATTCACCAGTACCACATGTCTTTAGACTTGTGGGGAAATCGGAGCACCCGGAGAAAACTTTCGCGAACGCTGGGAGAACATGGAAACTGACCCAGCCGAGGCTCGAACCAGCAACCTTCTTGCTGTGAGGCAACAGTGCTATACACTGCGCCACCGCAACACCCATCAGAATGAATTTTTTGTTAAAAATGAAGGATTTAAATGATCCTTTCCCAGTGAGTGTAGAGTGTAGAGTTAACAACTCACTGATTCAAATGATCCAGTCAGAAGGAGTCTATATTGCTCATTTGAAAGAGTAATTACTTACCTAACTACAGGTATACGAGTATAAATATACAGTAACAAACAAAAAAAGGACCACAATTCTCCACTCACTTGGTTTTGAAGGCATTTTGTCATCTAATTCTTCAATTAAGTTCAGGACATTCTCCTGCCGATCTGAAACCAAACAGAATTTGAGCTGAACCCTCATTTTTATGGTCTCCATTTGCAAATCTACTGCATTAACTACTCACTGCTGATTTTTTGTAAATTATCTGGATCTTCGCTCTGTAGTTTCCAGATTTCCTCCATCTGCGATATAACTTTAAGAACTGACAAAAAAGTCACACTTGTGAGTGAATAAACAGTAACATTTAGGGCAGGTATTAAAAGAAAGAGAAAGCAGACATACTTTTTCCAGAGTTAGGTTCACTTTTCTCAAGTTCCTTCTTTAACGCATTCATTTCTTTGAGTTTTTCATCCCGTCTTCGCTTTAAGTCTGTGATAAAAGTACAACAAATATTACATTTATGAACACCTGGTAATTATCAGCACTATTAAAATCAGTACAGGACAATACGTTTAAGAAATGGTTTGCATTTTTATCCTAAGCTCTTATTTTAATGTACAAAATAATTTCAGAAAAACATACCTTCATTAGATGGAGATGTTTTTATGTCTTTTGTTACTTGATCTATTTCATAGCCCAGCAAAATAATCTGGACAGCTGTGGAATGTAATATAATAAATTCAACAACGTTAAGCAAAACGAATGGATATATTTAGTTAGTTTTAGACTCAACATGCCTTTCTTTGAGGTTGAATCTGCCATTTCCTTCACTGCAGTATCCAGTTCAGCTTCTGCTTCTGAAAAGACAACAATAATCAAACCAACAATTGTAAGATTATACAAGCAAGAGGAACCCTTGTTGCTCTCTACATTTAGATCCATGTTGTCAATATTATCGATGATAAGTAGAGAGAAATCTCTCACTCTGGTACATATCCATCACATCATTGCATTGTTCTGTCTGGGCAATCAGCTTTCCACGTAAATCTGGGTGTAAAAAGATAACAGATCATTCATGAATAAGTTCATTTGGAATAAAGGACAGACCTAGCATTGATTGCTATTACATAATGTAGACAGTAATTATTGTTGGCTTTTTTGAGAAACAGCTTAGAATTTTTCTCTGTCGTACATCACATTTGGCAAAATGCACATGTAATTTTATAGTGACACTTATAGAAAAGTGTTTTTTCATCAGTAAGCTGTTCGAATAGAAACATTTATGTTGTATTTGTTAGAATTGGAAGTAAAATGAAGAGACTAAAGATCTTACTTTCATTGTCAGATTGAAAATAAAGTGTCCTTTCTTGCTCCTTTTCAAGCTCTTTCTGGAGATCTGAGGCAAACATTAAACTAATTAAAGACGCTTAGTTGAGAAATAAAATAAAAAGATAATACTTACAAAAAACTATTAATCCTTACCATTGATCTTAAATTCGTCTGCTTTAATTTGTCCTTGTGCATTAATCAGTGCCTCCATAAATTCAAACTGGAGTGTTAGAATTCTAGAAACTAGAAGCAAAATCATTTTAACACTATTGATGAGTCAAAAACAATGATACAAACCATGATATTCTCAACAAGAAAATTAAATCAGGTACATTAAAATGAAAGAACTGACCCAACTCATCCTTTCCCTTCAATGTGCCAATTTTGTCCATTACTTCGGTTCTTTTGTTATCAAATTCTTTCGCCAGTCCTACAAGACACAAATCATTGGCAAAATAATTAGCATATCTGAATACAAAATTATTCGTAAATAAACGCTAGTGTGAATCTAGTACCATCAAGCTGAGTAAGTGTTTGCTTAAGAGCTGATAATTCAGCCTTCAGGTCCAGTATTTCTTTATCCAGAGATTTAATGAGTGTATCTGGAATGCAAGACAAAAAAGGGATGACACATGCCATATTTTTGGGTATCATAACATGCATGCTAAAACATTTATTCTGGGTCTACAAAAAAATGGTGAAAATTAAAAAACAAACACTGAACAACGTACCAATATTTTGTATGTTTCCAGTCATCTCTTCTCTCTCCTCTTTCAGATCAGATACAAGGCCTTTTTTGTACTCTAGCTGGTTTGTAATTACTGTAAAACATTCAAGGCGATGAATACAAAACAATCCAGATCATCTTACAACTGCAACATTTCCTCAACATCAAATAATGAACACTCACCATCAATCTGCGCTTGTGTCTTATATTTACTAGCGAGACGTGTCTGTAGGTCCATCGCTTCAATTTGCAGTTTGACAATCTGCAGCACTAAAAACAAAACAAACTTTATCGTCATCTATTGTGGAAAATAATCAATGTTTCAATATTTATTTGTATTCAATCTTTAGTAAAACATGGGTCTAGGAAATCAGTTTTATTTTATTTTCAGAAGTTCACACTTTAGATATAGCTTGACGCTATTCGCAGGGTTGGCATGCTGTCCTAGGAGAGAACCCTGAGCTCGGAGATAATTGCAGCCAGGGTTCCTGCCTGGTCACTTAGCATAAAGGGGGTCCGAGATCAGGTAGGTCTCGAGAGCTCCCTCTAGTAAAGGAGGAAAAGGAGGAGATGGGGTGGATTCTTCAAAACGAAGATACAGTAAGGCAAGTAGGGTGAAATTGGTTTGTTTATTGTAGGCTTGGATCGATCTGATTGGATTATCGCTGATTATGGATGAGAGACCAGTCGTGATCAATCATATCACATGCTCCTCTCAAAGTTATTTCTGAGTACACTTTGTCAATTTGTGATTTTTCCGGATTCGATTTTAATGGGTCAATTTATTTTTAGTACGTCCAATTAACTGACGTATTTCATTTAGCAAAGGTTTATTAATAATATAACAAAAAATATTTTTGGGCACCCTATAAAACTTGTTTAACATTATTAATTAAAACATGGAAGATCGATTATGCCATTCCTTCTTTAAAATAAAGGCATTATTATTATAATTATTAATTAGAAATGTACAAAATATAGTTTATTAATTTCTTACCATTAACCTTTTACATTTAAATGTTGTTGTGAATACTGTAGACTGTGTAGACTCATTCATTAATTTTTCTTTCGCGTAGTCCCTTATTTATCAGGGGTCGCCACAGTGGAATGAACCACCAACTATTCTGGCATATTCTTTACACAGCAGATGCCCTACCAGCTGCAACACAGTTCAGGCAAACAACCATTCACTCTCATGTTCATACATTACGCCCAATTTTGTTTACCCAATTCACCTATAGTGCATGTCTTTGGACTGTGGAGGAAACCGGAGCTCCGGGACGTAACCCACGCGAACACGGGGACATAGAAACTCCACACAGAAATGCTAACTGACCCAGACGGGACTCAATCAAGCAACCCTCTTGCTGTGAGGCAACAGTGCTAACCACCAAGCCAACGTGCTTCCCCTGTGTTTAAACTTTTGCTGTTTAATGTTCATAAATTAAGTGTAGAGCACTACTATTCATTTACTCATCCATCATTTCCCAAAGTTCCTGACGTTCCTCATTATACAGGTAATTCCATTCCATCTACATGAAGTTATTTCTAATGCACTGATGTTATTTAACTTACCGTGTTCTGCAATGCCACCTCGTTCCCCTGGTTTTTTGAGTCTGTCTTCTAAGTATTTCTTGAATTCTGTAGATTACAAACTAATATAACATGCATATGCAAAAGGTATTGTCGGGTAACACTTGCTTACATTTTTATTCTACACACCATTTAGAGCAATCGATATTGCTTCACTCTTAGATGTCTCAGCACTTCTCTTTGAAACTAGATAACACAAAAAATGAACAGACAATTAGTTCAACTTCCTCTGTTTGAGAATTGAGCAAGGGTTGAAAACGCAGTGTCAGTATGATATTGCTGCAGGCACACTGGTGTAACTCTACCTGTGTGATTCAACAGTTCAACGCTAAAAAATGCTCTCGTCATCTCTGCTAAGTCTTTTTCTGCTTCCATTTCACGCTTTTCCAGTCCTGTTGATTTTTTATTTTACAATTAACAGTGTGAATATGTTGAGAATTTCAATTAAGCGATAAAACAACATTGTTTTAACACACCTTCAATATTTGTGTTGTCTTTTTCAGTTTTCATTATCGTTTCAATCTCCTGCAGTTCGACGAATTTCTGGAGAATCTTTAAGACTGAATAGGTGGAACACAGAGGTGAAAGTGGTGAAACAGAGGTGAAAAGTGTGGTTTTGTTTCATTAATCTTTTACAACATGTTACAAAATCAATTATGTCATATGATCTGTTGAAAGTCTTTCTGCTGTTTGATAGAATAGTGTGCAACAAGTAAGGGATAATCAACAGATTGGCAAGCGTTAATTATAAATCCACAATGCAAAGGCAAAGAACTCCCCCTCATGAAATGGATTTCTTGTGCAAGTTATACACAAGTTTAAACCAGTATTGCTCTTTGCAGTGCAACTTTCCACCAAATTTGGGTCACGCCAACTCAAATGTGATTCCTATAGCACAATTAACCCTTGTGTACTGTTCAAATTTGCTTCCTTTTCATTACTTTGGTGGCTGTTTTTGCCCTATTGACTTCCATTATAAATACATTTTAATTGCAGTGCTAGAAAAACCTTTGCGTGATTACCTTGATATGTCTGAGAAAATCAAATTAAGCACCTCATCTTCCAGAGCATAGTATGTGTGTTATGTATGTGCACTATAATTAGCTGTTTTACGCCATAGAACGCCATATTCATTTATTCATTTTCTTTTCCGGCTTAGCCTCTTTATTAATCTGGGGTCGCCACAGAGAATTGAACCGCCAACTCATCCAGCACATGTTATACGCAGCGGATGCCCTTCCAGCTGCAACCCATCACTGTGAAACACCCATACACTCTCATTCACACACATACACTACGGACAATTTTAGTTTACCCAATTCACCTGTACTGCATGTCGTTGGACTTGTGGGGGACACCGGGGCACCCGGAGGTAACCCTTGTGAGTGCGCCAGAACGCCATATAAGAACCAGAAAGCTTTTTTGCCCCAGCCTATCTAAAGGGTTAATGGTGCAAACTGATGATCATTTATCTCTTCCTAACAAGGAAAACCACCAACAATGATAAAAACATGATTATATAGTGTCATGGCTTTGCAATGAATTAATGTCTTTACAGTGGAAAAACAGCCCCGAACATAACGAAAGGGTATTAAATTTGAACAATACACAAAGGGTTACATTCAAAACATAAAAAAGCATAATAGGACCCTTGATCTGTTCAAACTTACTACCCTTTCGTTATGTTAGTGGCTGTTTTTGCACCATTGACTGTCATTATAATGACTTTTTTATAATGTCAAAGCCCTGACACTATAAAATCATGCATTTTTGATTGTTGGTGGTTTTCCCTGATGGGAAGAGGTAAAAAGTTTAATTTAAGTTGGCAGGATTAACTCCTTAGATAGGTCTATGCAAAAAAAAAGTTTCGTTTTTTTAAATAAAGTTCTATGAATTTAAACAGCAGATTAAAATGCGTGTGCATAAATACACTTACATTACTACGTCTACTATGTTCTGAGAACTGATTATTTTGATTTTAGCAGACGTTAGCAAATAAGTAAATTTGAGTGTATTGTTGAATTATTTGAAGAGTTTCAAAGCATTTCCACAAAATATGTGTCAAAATAAGATTTGTCCCCAAAAATCATTCTCTTTGCTGAAACAGAGGTAGTTGTGGCCAAATTAAGACTCAAAATCAGCCCAAGGAGGATGAAAACATCCCCAACAGCACACAAGGGTTAAAATTAACAGAGGTGGTTTACAAGTAAACACAATATAAAAAATTTATAAAATAAGCATGCATCATAAGAGAAAAGAGAAATGTGTCAAATTAAAACGGACATTAATCAAAAGCCAGCAAGAACTAAAAAGATTTAAACTTTATACACAAATACAGCTATCTCAAATTTCACAGCTATTGTTTGTTAGTTTTCACATGTTAAGTAATTATTTATAACAAGTTATTTGCAACCATGTTATATCGAAGTTGTAATCAAAACTGACTGTAACTATACCTGTGCATTAACATATTTTACTGCTAGTCAGTCAGAACTGTTCAATGCACAGATAGTTCCAGTCAGTTTCGATCATCATTTGAAATAAATGTACTTAAACTCAAACATTTGTAGCAACCATAGAAACTCACACTGTAAAGAATATCTGTAAATTAGCATATGTACGTTTTATGTATTTTGTTATTCATGATCTCCACATTTATGTATGTTTATGAATTGCATTATGAGATGCAATTATCTTTCATCCAGTAACTTTTAACATTGAAAATTTTTGAAAAGTGGCTTTTGATAAACATTTGTAATAGTTTAAAGTGGTATATTGTCTAGGTTGTTGTTGTACATTACAGGACAAAATACTTGGAATAAACTGCCAGGTAGTTTTCTGTTATTTTACAGATTTATTTCTCTTTATATAAATTCTTTTACATCACATTATTTAAACTACTAAAATCTTGATAAATGTCACTTTGTTAAACTGTAGAGTTAAACTTTCAAAAATCGACAGAGCAGAGATCATGGTTTCATAATGCAATTCACAACTAACACTTGTGAATCCCAAAATGTGGAACTGTTAATTAGCAGATATTTTTCCTATGCAGTAACTATGTTTCTGAAGCTTAAATCTCAGGGAATTCAATTAACTCACAGATCTGCTCAAAAATATTTGCAAAGAGGTACCTAACACGTTACTATGAGCTATTGGATATGCCTTTGTCATGTATACACACAAACTCTGTTGCATATGCTCTATCTCTGCCTAAGATTGATTCAAAGTAGGCAGATATAATATGTTGTAACTGACAAAATAAATGGTCAAATATTGCGCTGCATAGTGCAATATAAGTTTTAACTTGTCTATAACAAATAATCCACATCACTTTGGGTGATTCTTTGCTTCCATATTGTGAATTTAAAATCATTAACACATAGTAATTCATGATTACAAAATCAATCAATCTAAATTTCCTCCTGAATTTTTCAGTGAATTTATAAAATTATTTATAATGCAGCTGTCGATATTCACATACCATCCTTGGAGGATCCTGGACTATTTGAGGAGCTGACTTCATCGTAAAGCTCATCCAACTGGATTTTAAGACCTGCCAACATTTCCATCATTTTAGAATTATGACACAAACTAATGTAGCTGTAAGATGATATACTTTGAGGTGTGTGTAGAATGAAGATTTGTTGACTCACTGATAATATTATCTTTTGCTTCTTTGTAAAACTCCATACATTTATCCTTCATCTCATCAAGATCTTTCTGTAGGCCTAAAGAAGAACAAATGATCTACTGCATGCATCAATTACAATAAAAAGATTATAAAACAAATATTATAAACGTAATTCACATACCAGAACAGTCCTGAGAAAGATCATGAAAATGACATAAAAATGAATGAAGTCAATTTAAAATTGTATGGTTAATTAATAAGTAAAATCAATAAAAGATAACCTAAAGATCATAAATGTACCTCTGTGGCTCTTTTTTCTTTTGTGGAATCCATTGCCTAAAATGGAAAAATGTATTCACTTTAACCTCAAATGTAAATTAAAATATATTTGACATTTCATTATCTTAGAATTATAAGGTTCTTATTATATTTATATCATATTTATTTATTCTTATTATAAATATATCTGATATTTTTTGCCGAAATTGAGTTATTCTCATATTCTTATTAAATGACAACTAATTTACATTATGAGATGTTTTTTCTGTTTACATTTTAAGACTTTTTATTTTAAAAACAAAAAAGGTTTTATCTACAAAGTCGAACTCTAGCTTGGCTCTGTAAGGTGCTTTCTGTGAGCCAATCAGCATTTCCAATGCACACACGAGGACTAATCAAGATCAGTTTTCTTTGTCAATTCACTAGTCAGTACCGTTGACAGTGGGAAAGACCAGAAAGAAACACAATATTAGAGTCGACTAAATAATGCTGCACCACACAAAATTGAGAAGAAACCTGAAACTGATGTAAAGATGTGTGTAAATGTGATGATTTAGAAAAAAAAAGTCATTGAGATGAAATGTTCAATTTTACATTGTTGAAAAAAGTAGTAATATATTAAATCTTAAATAATTTTATTTGTGTATATATAGGCAGTGGAACATTTTTCAGTGTTTATTAAACTTATTTCCTCATTGTCTGTTTTGTAATATCACTTCTTTAAACTTTATATTAAGCCTTGAAGGGCAAATACTTCATTTAATTCACGGGGCATATGATTCATAATTCATATAAAGCATATAATTCAATAAATATGACCATATTAATTACATCAAATTAACATCTGCACTGGACGAAATATTTAGCACAGCCTTGTTTGCTTAATTTGAACAAGAAAAAATATTCAATCTAAAACAAGAAATAAAATGTTAAAGAAAGCAAAAATTTTACTTTCTCAAACATCAACATGTTGTTACAACACAATTTCTTTATTATTAAATTAATAAGCATACTGATTGTATTACTTAAAAAAGTAATGCTTCAATGATCTGCCAGATAGAGCCTTAGAACTTTAAGCGAAAAATGGCTTTTTAGAATAGGAAGGTTCTGTCTGCATTTGCCCAGTTTGTTTACCCCAATTTGCAAATGTAAGAGAATTTTGATAATTTACATTTAGAGTACATGTAGGGTCTCTGTCATGTTGATGTATGAAAGAGAACTGTTACACGCATATTGTTCGCAATATGGAATGCAAAAATTTTGAAGCTCAATATCTGAAAATCATTCAGAACGCAGATAGAACCTTATAATTCCAAGATGATAAGTTGTATTATTACCAAAGATGTATAAATGTTACTTTGTATTCATCCAAAAATACTAGAATAATGTTTTCAAAATGAATAGTACAATTAATGAGTATTTTTCACAGAAAATCTGTATGATTGCTGAATAATCAAGCATCTCTAAAGACTGAAAAATTGGCTATCACAGGAATAATCAACATTAAAAAACTTAAAAACAGATAAACACTATTGAAATATTACACAGTATTACTGCTGTTTTACGGAATTTTGGAACAAATATAAAGGTGAGGTGAAGACACTTCTTTTAAAAACATTTCAAAATTGTACCAAACACTAATGTGTATACGTATAGACTAATTAAATACCTACATTTGAAATCATACTGCAGGTAATCATACAGTACTCAGCATATATGAGTACACCCCCCACAAATCTCTCATTTAAATTTATATTTTCTATAGGATGCTTTAAATTTATTGTATTTGTGCATACATTAATTTAGTCAGTACTGAAGTCAAATCTGGAGCTAATCTAACAAAATAACTTACGATAATGGTTCAAAAACTAGTACACCCATTTATATAAATTTAAATAAAGTACATAAATTTATACAAGGAAAAATATTAAATACAAATTTTCAAAAATCAAGAGAAACAAAGAGTATAAACAATTTTGTTGTAATTTGTCATTTTTGCAATAGTTTGCTTGAATTTAAATGTATTATCTTTCCATTTCTAAAGTTGTCTATTCTGTGACTAAAATATTATTTTAATAAATATATTTAAAAGAATTATAAAAACATTCATTTTCAAACTGAGCACTGTATCTGAAAAAAATAAAATAAAAATAAACCTACCATAAATGCTGGATCTTGTCCATTGCTCCAGTCTGCAGCTGCATTTACAGGACCTTTAAAAAAGTGTATTTGTCCCTGAGAGGCAATGTTGGCTCAGCATATATATCAGTCAAATATACACACTTTTATAAATAATTAATGTATAAATGCATAAAATAATACATACAGAAAAAGGTTTATATAGAATTTTAACACAAGTCTATATAAAACACAAATCCATCATTCCTTCTCTCATCAGAAAGAAGCTAATCTTACCACATTTCCCAAGTGTCAGCATGTAAACTGACACAAAGAAAGAACAAATCAGGAGTTTCTCTTTCCTCCCCATTACTGTGTGAAAGAAACTTCACAGTAACACTGGAGCTCATGGCATGCTTGTGTGCTTTATATATGACAAGCAAACCGGTCCGCTATTACCCAACTCTCACGTCTTAGCAGAAGAACACAGTTAACTACCTAAGTTCTTCTCATTAACTTCTTATATTATCGAAGTAAAGACTGGACAATAGAATAATCAAAGCCAGAGTGACCGAGCTGTAAATGTTTTTGGTCTTTAAGGTTTGCACTGTGGCTCTTTATGAAGATTATATTCATTCATGCTTAAAACAGCAGAATAAAAATGCTGCCCAGAACTGTAAAGATGTTTAATTTTATCTTGCATTTGTTGTTTAATAAACAGTATATATATATATATATATATATATATATATATATATATATATATATATATATATATATATATATATATATATATATATTGAAGTCAGATTATTAGCCCCCTTTAGATTTTTTTTCTTTTTTTAAATATTTCCCAAATGATGTTTGACAGAGCAAGGACATTTTCACAGTATATCTGATGATATTTTTTCTTCTAGAAAAAGTCTTATTTGTTTTATTTTAGCTAAAATTAAAGTTTTGAATTTTTTAAAAACTATTTTTGGGACAAAATTATTAGCGCCTTTAAGTTAAATTTTTTTCGATACTCTACAGAACCACCATCGTTAAACAATACCTTACCTAATTACCCTAACCTGGCTAGTTCACCTTATTAACCTAGTTAAGCCTTTAAATGTCACTTTAAGCTGTATAGAAGTGTCTTGAAAAAATAAAAATAAATATATATATATATATATATATATATATATATATATATATATATATATACACATACATACACACACACACACACACATATACATACATATACATATATATATATATATATATATATATATATACATACACATACATATATATATATATATATATATATATACATATATATATATATATATATATATATATATATATATATAAAAATTATTAAAATATATTTAAATTATTGTTAAGACTTTATTTAAAATCTTTTTAAAATGTTTGGATAACGTGACTTTTGAGGCTGACTTGATTGCAAATATATTTGTAGGAGATCTTATATATACATGAATAGAACACATACACTACCGGTCAAAAGCTTGGGGTCAATAGGATTTTAAAATGTTTTAAAATGAGCTTATCCTGCTCACCAAGACTGTATTTATTCCATCAAAAACACAGTACAAGTTGTAAAATTGTGAAATGTTATTGCACAATAAAATAACTGTTCAACACTAGTTTATAATTTAATAAATAAAAAAGCAGTTATATAAAATAAATATTTAACAATTTAATAAATAAATAAATTAATTAATGCATATTAATAAATGCATTTAATTAACAGAATAGTTTTCTTAAAAAAAAAACATGAAAAAAAAAACTGACCCCAAACTTCTGACATATTTATTGTATATGTACAGTATGTCTGTGCTCTTTAATTTGCACATTGTGAGTAGACTGCTCACAAATCATTTAACTTGCATCCAACCTGTTTATTAATCTGGCTCTGTGTATTTAAAGCACATGCAATTATATTCCTATTTTTTATTTATTTTTTGCCATTTGTGAAAAAACGGTTTAAAAAAAAACTAAAACATTTTTAGTTTTTTGTCTCTGACTATTTGGATTGAGATATATTTGGAAGAATCTCACAGAATTTTTTGTGCATGTACAAAATCCTTTCAAAATTAAAATGACTGTTGCTGCTTGTTCAAACTACTTATTTAAAATGAGTTGAAACAACCCAATTCCTTTTTTGGCTTATTGTTTTAAGGCTCAATCCACTTAAATTTGTAAAAAAAAAAAATAAAAATGATTAAGTTGACTTAATTGATTAGTGTTGGGACAACATGAAGGAATTGTGTGAAACCCAGCATTTTGTTTTTACAGTGTATGACGTATGAGACAAAATTTGGACTTCAGAAGATATACTGCCAGTCACTCTTTTAGTACCTGCGATTTACAAATGTCACCTCACTGTGGTAACACTGACAGTGATCTTTTACAGCAGAAAAAAAAAAATCATCCATTGCACAAGAGGAAAATGTTTGAGGCACACCCAGCCCGGAGCTCGGTGATAACAGTGGTTTTTGTGTGTGGCAAATGTCAATGACAGGATCACATTTATCTGTAATGCAAATGCATCAAGAGTTACCCAAAAATGGAAGAAAATGCTGATGTTGGCCGATAACACTCATATTATATTGTTTAAGACTAAACGCTACTCAGTTTTATTATCATAAATGGATTCTAAATAATTAATAGTTTGAGATTATTAATGTTGCAATGCAACTATAGAATAGCTTTTTAACAACTTTGCCAACTAATTCAAGTGTAAAATAAAATAAATAATACCACTGCATAAGTATTTACATCAATGAGATGTCTGATGAACCTGTCTCATCCTGCCTGTGGACCCACATCTCAAAGGACCTGTCCTAGACCACTAACACTTCCAACCTGGTCAATACTTAAGAAGCAATTTAAGAAGAACCAGTCTTCAGCCATCTTGGTGAATGTCTACCGCTGCACAATAGAAAACATCCTGACCATCTGCTCTGTTGCTAAGTGTAAGACTCTGCAGTGGGTGATGAAAACTGCCCAACACATCACAGGGACTGTTTGCACCGGGCACACAGTATTCTCCTCTTACCTTGCTCATAGTTTTCTATTCTGCCTTCCAGAGGGCGCTTCAGAGAAAAACGAGTAGACTGAGGAACAGCTTTTTCCCCAGAGCTGTCTCCCTTTTGAACTCTGCCCCCCACTGACTCTTTTGCCTCCCCTCATACACCACCACACTCTCCTCATGACTTACACTCCCCATAAACACTGCATTATTTATTATTAAATATTTGCACAATTAAAATTCCACACATTTATCACACTACGTTGTACTAATTCATCTTGAACTGTACATAACCACTGTACATAAGTATTTGTAATTATGTTTACATCTTTCTGCATACCCCTTCTTATTAATAGCAACCTGTACATATTTTAATCTATTGTAAATCTCTGTTCAAAGTTAATATAACCTTTATATAATGTTTATAGTACATCCTGTAAATATCACTATAGTTGTTTTTTTGCACTTGCTGCTACTGCACTCCTAGACCTAAACTGAATTGTGTTGCCTTGTACTTACATGTATAATAACAATAAAGTTGAATCTAATCTAATTCAAACAATAAACTCAGCCCCATTGATAACAATTACAGCTTTTGCAATACAATGCATTGATATGTTTAAATTGCTGTCCAATTTAGGTATGACTAAGCCGAGTGCAAAAAATCTTCAGAAATGGATTCTAAAGTGGATTTAAAATAGATTTTAAAGGAAAGCTTTGATTTTACTTTATTTGGAAGAGTTGTGAATAATAATGAGCTTTGCAATCATGCTTTCAAATAGCTGCCACAAATCATGTCTTTAGTACTCAAACACGTGATGTACTCTGAATGTATTAACGCTTATATTTTAAAGTTTACTTGTGTTTGTTGCCTTAATACAAATGTACAAGTACAAATGTACATGTACACTAACAAAATATGGAGTTGAACAAAAGGGTGCTGAATAAATGTATCATCTGTCTTTGCAGAGTTTTTGAATAAATAGATAAGATGCTGTTGCACTGCCATACCCGAAAGCTAATGCCTGTCCTTTTTTCAAAATAGGAGTCCCACATACATATGAATTATAATAATCTTTGTTAAACTTTGAAAATTAGGGGCATTATAATTGTTGTAATCTCACTAGAAAGTGTTGTGGCCAATCAAACACAGCTGGATGCGTGCATATTAATGATCCTGTGAGTAACGTCAGAGTCTGTTTTGATGGGATTGTCCTGTTTTTCAGTGGGATTTACATGGGAAAGAGGAAACAATAGAGTTTGAGGTTGACGTTACATCATTTCCATGTCCAAACTCTTATTATTTAGCTATTATATAGCTTTTTGAGTGTGTAGCAATAAACTTTTCACATTTGCATTGATGGGTTTTGACAGAATATTGTTAACTATTGTTAAATTGTTAATTATTATTAAAACAAATATTATTTATTTATCATCATTATTATAGCACTAACCTTTGGTAGATTCATATCAAAGGGTGTGTATTGTGCACCTTAAAACACCTCAAATAAAGTGACTGAAAAATTGCTCCACTTGCTATTGTAAGTAAAAATACCAGTGATGTTGAATAAAATGATGTTTTGGACTTTGGTCTTTAAATTTTGTAATATGATAACATCTGACTATAGGCAATGTGACATTAAAGTGGATTTAGTGCAAAAGTGGTCTGGAACGAAGAAGAATAGTGAAGTGCACAAAAAGTCATTGCTGCAAGACCTTTGGTGCACCATAATCAAAAACACAAGTAAAAAATTATAGTGATTAGCAATATTTGTGGAGTTGTTTTGTTGTAGGGCCAGTGTTTCGTTTTTTCTGGAACTTAATAAAAAGTCAAATACAGAAAATATTTAACGTAACTGCTTACAAGTGGTCAAGGGCAAAAATGCAACTGTGGTACAAGGACAGACCCTTAGTATCTGACAAAAAGAAGGTGAAAAGTACCTGGATATCTACTATTTCCAGACAAAAGTTCATGCTTCTATAAAGAAAGATTACAATCAGGATTCAGAACAGGATTCTGGATGCAGCTCTTCTCTCTTCATCTGTCAATAAAAGTGGGAAAATCTCTTTAAAAGATAATAATTCAAATAAAAAATTTCAAATCCCTAAATATTAATAATAATAAAAAAACAGAATTTAATTGGTTTTAATGGTTAAGACGGTTGATGCATATGATTCATGTTGAGTCATTGACCAAATCCTAAAGGATTGTGTACCAAAACACACACACAAAAATAATAATGGCCTTTTCAAGTTTTTTTTTTTTTTTTTTGGATGGTTTATAATGTTTTTATGGCATTTGTTGTGGAAACCATTATAACTTATGGTTTCTGTTATTGTAGCTACTTTCATCTGAATAGTTAGTGTACACATTTAAGAGGGAACAGTTAGTATGCTGTAGGGTACAGTACAACAAATGTTTGAAATGTTTTAACAAGGACCTGGATTTTCCATACGCATGCTATTAGATGTATTACGGGAAAGGGATGGTCATAAACAGGGATGTCTTATCTGCGTGTTATTTAAGTTAGCATTTCACCTAATTTTCCTCTTGTTGGAGATTTCAGATCCAGGCGAAAGTTCCTGAAACACACATCATCCGACGTTTAACTAGCTTCATCAGGTGCGTATACTGTTTACATAAATGCATGTAAATAAAAGGTCGGTATGGCCAAATAGGGCTTATGATATTAGTGCCATACATGTGACTGTGTAATAGAGATTTCAGATGTAGGCAAAAGTTATTTAATTACCATTCCACGAGGGTATAACTACATGCTGCGTTCATCTTAAAGTGCGTATTGCGTTTAAGTAAAAGAATGCTCGTAATGGCGAAGTGTGTTTCTAACTATCCCCACTATACGAGACATGTCAACGCTGTCAGACAAGTAACACAAGTTATTTACTGTATTTGAGCTATTCGACGCTTTGGTTAATAACTGTGACGACGCATCAGTTGCAAAGGTTGTAATAAATGCATGAGACCACAGGGTGACGGACTTTCATTTCTCTCTGCCAATTACTTGCTAGCTGATTCATTTGCACGAATCGGTTCCTATGAACAGTTACTTAGAACCGACCGCAAAATGATTCAGACGTTCTGCAATCACGTAAATACGTCATTACGTGATTATTACTTCATTACGCGTTTATGACGTATTAAATCAGCATATTACAAAAACCTTCAAGGGAAAAAATGAATAAAAAAAATAATGAAAGAAAGTTTGGTCATTACCCCACGATTTTCATTACAAACAAAATAAGATAAGTTACATTTAAACTGATTCATACATGCTATCCAGACAAGTGTAATCTTTAGAAGTGATAAATGATCATAACAACAACTGTTTTTTTGTTGTTAGTGAATCCTTAAACTTCTGTTCATTTATTTTGGAATTGCCCTCATTTAATGACATTTAGGTGTGATATTCTTAATTGTATAAAAGATTATGTGGAGGCAGATTGTAAATTTACATATAAGAATGTTATCTTTGTTTTCCATGAATGTGACAATGTGTGAATGTGAATGTGTGTTTTTTTTTTTTTTTTTGGACAAAAGCAAGGTGTAAAATTGAAATGAAAATGTATTTTGAGCCTATTGAGGCATCAACAAACTTAAAAACAATACAAACAAGAACTTTAATGAAGGACTTGGCTCTTGTTTTGGACTAAATTACTGAAAACAATTGGATTGTTGTTGTTTGATTGATGACGTTTGTTGTTAATGTTTTTCAAGCATTCAAAAAATAAAAAATAAAAAAGAGCAAATTACGAAACCTTTTACAAATAATTGCTACAAGGAGAAGTGAAGCATTATATTGAGTCCATATTACCTTAAAAAATCAAAAAGCCATGCGAATTGTCCAAGCCTGTATATCACGTATTCCTGTGATATTGTTTATATCTAAGCCTTTGATATTTTCTTTACATTTGTTTTTTTATTATTGACTTCAATAACAAACATAGAAAATTCGATCTTACACAAAAAGACAATAATAGTACCAATGATAATAACTTAACAGATCAGGTTAAATAGTATTATAAAGACATAAATCTGTAAAAAAAAAAAAAAAAAGAAAAAAAATGGAAAAAAAATAAACAGACATACATAAATAACACAAATACAGCAAGAGGAAAGAAGGATTTATGTATCCATGATAGATAAATATGATAGAAAAATAGATCCAAGAGCCTAAATAAAAACATCAATTTCAATTTAAAAATGTGGGGTAAAAAGGCTGCTAATTCGAGAATTTTTGTTTGTGAATAAAATATTTTCCATACAAAATAAAAAAGCTAATAATGTAGTTCTCTGGTATAACAAATTCACCTTTATAGTGACAAATTATATCTTGTAGTTGAAAGGGGCTGGAAGAAGCAATGTAATTACCTATATAAAGATATAAGCTATTACAAAAGATTTTTGTGTTTTCACACTGTGAAGATGTGAATCAGGGTTTCGTCTTCAGTTTTACAAACTTTAACATTGCATTTAACATTTTTAACATTGTTTAACTTTAACATTTAACATACATTGTACTTGACTTGCATCGTATTTCTTGACGTTATTTGTTATTTTACGCTATACTCGTAAAAAAAAGAAATAAAATAAATAAAAATAATTACTACAAGGGAAAAAAATAAATAGAATAAAATAATTGCTACATAAATAAAAAAGCACACAATTCAACAAAACATAGTGACAAAAAATATTGTATATTGTATATTAATTATGTTTTATAAGATAAACTTGTGTTTTTGCACTTGCGATATTTTGTTTTTCTGCAATAAATATTGCAATAAATAAACAATTTCTCCATATGACTTAAACTGCTATTTAAGAAATAATTTATACATTTAGATCAATTGGAGAGTTGCGCAGTGGGTAGCGATGTCGCCTCACATCAAGAAGGTCGCTGATTCGAGCCTCGGCTAAGTCAAATGGCATTTCTGTGTGGAGTTACCATTTGACCAAAGTCCAAAGACATGTGCTATAGGGGAATTGGGTAAACTAAATTGTCAGTAGTGTATGGGTGTTTCCCAGTTATGGGTTGCAGCTGAAAGAGCATCTGCTGCATAAAACATATGCTGGATAAGTTGGCGGTTCATTCCGCTGTGGCAAACCCAGATTAATAAAGGTACTAAGCTAAAAAGAAAATGAATAAATGAATGAATGATCGATTGGACTGATTCTTTAGGGAAGTGAATCGCTCATAAAAATGTTGAAAATTAACTATTTAAAATAAATCCAATCCAATATATATATATATATATATATATATATATATATATATATATATATATATATATATATATAGTGCAGCCCTAATTGATAGCATTTGATAGATTACGATATTTCAACCAAATACAGCCCTTGACCCAGCTGGGATAGGCTAAACATTAGTGTGTAAAACTTCATTCTAGTCCTCAATTTTTGATTTCATTTGTTAGATGATTGCATATTGGGCAAGCAAAATGGCCTCTGAAGTTTAAAACAGTATAATAATAGCCAATGTAAATAAAATTCATAAGAAAGCAAATGCACAAAGTGTGACATTTAGGACAGGACCCATATTTGGTCACTGTATTCGATCTGTTGGGTCAGTGAGTGGACAATTTGCAATAGAATCAATTTAAATTGTTTTGTGGGCCAGTTCAAAGATGTAATTCACAAGAAGCACTTCATAAAATGGACATAGCCATTACTGTTATCGGTCTGTGTTTGCCAGATGGCGCTATCAGGATGGATTTGTGTGGTGACTGGTGCTTCCAGAGGAATTGGAAGAGGTATTGCGCTTCAGTTATCTGAAGCTGGCGCCACTGTGTACATCACTGGTCGACAGGAGAAAAGTCTGAAGCAGACAGCAGCAGAGGTTTGGAAACTGGTTACTGTTAGTGTAATTGTTTTTTTATGTGTATGATATTGCTTTCATGGTTCTTTTATTTTCATGATGACAGGTGGCAGAGCGAGGAGGCCGGTGTCTCCCAGTGGTTTGTGACTCATCTAAAGAGGAGGACATCAAGGAGCTGTTCGAACGTGTTGAGCGTGAGCAAAACGGCAGGCTTGACATCTTGGTGAACAACGCCTATGCTGGTGTACAGGTCAGTTTTGTTTTCAATTATTATTATTGAAAATCTTCAAACAAAACCAAAAAAATGACTAAGGGTGTACAGGTTAGTTCCAGATAACAATTGATGTAATGTTTAGTCATTGGTGAATGCTTGATGTTTTTATATCTGTGCTAGGCTATTTTGGACAATGTCAGCAAGAAGTTCTGGGAGGTGGATCCAGGTATTTGGGACACCATCAACAACACTGGACTCAGGTGCAGTGCTGGAGGAATATGAATGAATAATTCTGAATATGATTGAAAACTTTTTGTCATTTACTTAAGATTGCGTTCACGCTGCAAGCATTAGCATTCAATTCTGATTTATTACACAGATCCAGCAGTTGTTCACATGATTGTTTGGAAATGGCCCAAATAGAAAACCAACAGATTTGGGCCACAATTTCTAGCATTTTCCATTCATTCACAAGCTCAAAATTACTACTGGTTGTAAAATTATTAAAATGTTTTTTTTTTAAATGTCTCTTATACTCAGAAGGGCTGCATTTATTTGATAGAAATACTGTAAATTAATATTGTGAAATATTACAATTTATTACTATTTTAAATTGATATTTTCTGTGGTGGTAGTAGTACAAGTTTAACATTAATAACAACCAAAAACATCTTTGTGACAACAAAAACTTAAGCAACTAAAGCCACAGTCACATTCGAGTTTGAGCAAATGTAATTATGTCATGTGACGCTGTGAAAAGAGGTGATTAGACATTCAAAAAGCGAGTAATTGCTCCATATTTAAAATTTCTGTGCGATTTCCCAGGTCGGAGTTTACCAAGCTTGCGATGACATGCAAAACTTTTCTCACAAGCTTGCGTTTCCGGTCTTCCGCATTTGCATGCATATTAATTAGAGTCTATAGCGTGTGACCATGGCTTAAGACAACTTAAATACTGTATTACATTTTTCCCCCAATTTATTTTCACATTTCATCACAGGCACTTAAGAGATCAATGCTACTGTTTTTTTTTTTTGTGTTTTTTTACAGGGGTCACTACTTCTGTTCAGTTTATGCTGCTAGGTTGATGGTGGCTCAGGGTAAAGGTTTGATTGTGGTCATATCATCCATGGGTGGCCTGCGCTATCTCTTTAATGTGCCCTATGGTGTCGGCAAAGCTGCAGTGAGTCACAGCATTACATATTCTATATTTGCAGTGCTTTATGGTTATCAAATATAAAAGCCAGATTAATTCAGTTGCACACAACGGTCACCACTTCTCTTTTACATTGCTTTTTCGTAAACATTTTGCTCAGATTTTTTTTTTTCCTTTAGTGTGACAGAATGGCAGCAGACATGGGAATCGAACTGAAAAAGAGAGGCGTTGCTTCTGTAAGCCTGTGGCCAGGAGCAGTTCAGACTGAGACAATTAAACAGTATATGTCTCAAGATGAAGGACCTCCAGGTTTTGATTCCAAAGTAAGCAGTCATTAATCAAAATTTGCAGATTTTTAACTAGCATTTAAATGATAGAATGTAAATGGACCAAGAAATTAGGTAAATGACCACCAAATGATACAAAACAGGTCTTTCACAAAACTACATATTTCACTTAGCCATTGCTGTATCCTCACCCACAGATGTGTAAAACTAGTTTAAAGACAGGAAACACAGCTTGTCTGAAATGTTATTGTAAAAGTTACTGTATAAGTAGATTTATCAATGAAATTTGCATAATATTTTATATAATTGGTCAAAAATGTAAATACTTTTACATGTGCATGGCAGTTTTTACAATGAACAGTGTTCAAAAACATCCAGTTATACGTGGAGACTACATTCACAGATTGTCTTCCCCCAGATTTCCCTTTGCTCTTCTTCCTTGATGACTTTAGCTTTCCTACAGTGCTGTGGATACTTAAAGGAATAGTTCATTAAAAATAAAAGATTCTGCCATCATTTACGGACTGCTGCCTTGTTCCAAACCAGTCTGTAAAAACTCTGAACAAGTCTTTTGACGAGAGGGGCCTGGCTGCAGACTTGGTGCAGATGCAATCTGAGCTGCATTCAATGCTTTTTAAATGTACTCACCTAACCCCACCCCTAACCCTACCTCCATTGAGTGCATTGTGTCTGACATTGCATCACTGAGCGATGCAATCTCAGCTTGCATCATAAAGGCTGCATCCAGATACTACTTGCTTTTGACACCTTTGAGTTTTGAATGAGTCAAGAAAGTGTAAACAATGACAGAATTAGGGCTCTATTTTGACGGTCCATGCGCAGAGCGCAAAACGCAGGGCGCAAACGCTTTCAGGGCGTGTCAGAACGCATTTTTTCTAATTTAAGGATGGGAAAATCTGCTTTGCGCCATGGCGCATGGTCTAAAAGGGTTGAGTTTATTTTCTTAATGAGTTATAGGTGTGTTTTGAGAATAAACCAATTAGAGAGTCATCTCCCATTTCCTTTAAGAGCCAGCTGTGTCGCGCCATAAGCGAATTTTGACGTAAAGTAAGTTCACTTTCGCTTTTGCTCTCGTGGATAGGGAAACCTTTACACACAGACATCAATTAGCCTATAAATAATTAATTTCGTTTGTTAAGCGCAAAGATTTGTTTCAAAACTATTTCTAAATTCAGTTCTAATTTCTAGCAAACGAATAAATGAACAATAATAACCAAGTGTGGTCAAAATACTGAGTTATTTCCAAATACACCTGCCATGCCCCATATGGTCTAAAATTTGACAGGTGGACAAATCTAAGCTTGTTTTTAATAAAACAAATATAAATATGGATATAATAAATAATACTGCTAATAATAATAACATTATACAAAAGCAAATTGAATGAACTGAAAAAGCCTCCCGAGATAAAGAAAGTAAGGCAGTGGTGTTTAAATCTTCATGTAGGCTAGAAATTAATGTTTTGTAATATTTTAATCATTTATATTTATATCCTGTATATATCCTTATTATATTATATTATATATATCCTTAAGATATTATATATTTTTCATATGTAAAGATATTTGCGTATTGCTCTGCATCTTGTTTGTAGTGTGTAAGCCAGGTGCACTTTGCACCAGACAATAGACCAACTTTGTTCTGGTCTAAAGATCAGACTATTTACAGTTTCTCAAAATAGCAACGCGTCAAAACACACCTGCTTTTTTAGATCAGAACGCCTATGGGCGCACATTTGAGCGCAAATGCATTTGCTATTTAAACAGCGTGGCGCAACACCTCAAAATGACTCTTGCGCTGAGCTAAAAGTAGCAAAAGAGTATTGCGCCGTGCCTTGCGCCACATTGTGCCGGGTGTATGATAGGACCCATAAAATGTTTGGATGAACCATCCCTTCATTTGGGAATCTTACTCCAGTTAAACGTTTGCTTCTTAAGTTAATCTGGAATAAATTGATAACACAAAAGGGTGGTATTTGACTGTTCAAGTCTATTCAATAAGTGCAAACTGGGAGTGACCTTAACAACACCATGCCTTAGGTATTTTAGTACAACAAGCCACTCATTTAATAACTTTATACAATCTGTCTTTCTCAGTACAAGGACGTTTTCACTAATGGTGAGACGACGGAGCTTAGTGGACGATGCATAGTTGAGCTAGCGAAAGGTTAGATATTATTGTTATTATTGTAATTTTATTATTGATTTAATGAGAACTGAAAGTTAAAAGTAATGAGATTATCTTAAAAATCTAATGGATGAAATGTGAACTGCTTATGAATGTGTTAACTTTTTTGTGACAAACAGATAAAGGTCTGATGTCAATGACTGGACAAGTGTTGATGACCTGTGAACTGGCCCGGCGCTATGGATTTAAGGATGTTGATGGTATGATTCTTATAAAAAAAGATACATGCCGTAGATGTAAGGGTTCCAAAATAAAACTGCACTGTATTTGATGAACTCTTTCTCTGTTTAGGTCGCAGTATTGTGGATTACACCTCTCTGAAGTTTGCCATTTCCCAGATACCCTACGTGTCCTGGCTATCCATTTTTACTCCTTCATTCATCAGAGTGCCTCGGTCCTTGCTGAGTCTTGGCAGTGGTAATTTCTAACCTGCATTGGTGCAGAGACAGAGCCTGCTTTTTTGGTTAATTCTCTCTTCTCTCTTCATTCATTCCAATTATGTTGTTTCTAAATATAATATATTGTTAAACTTTACAAAGTGATTAGTACTGGTTAAATGCCATTTATTTCCCATTTTTTCAGCACACTGCTATCACAATTCACTGTTTTCAAAAATGAAAAAAACTATCATGCGTTTTAATATTTACTCCATTTAACCTGAAACAGTATGAAGTACTAAATGTGTACTTGCCAAACAAGTTATTGCAATAAACTCATAACATTTTATTGGTCTTTTTTTTTGTGTTTCAAATAAATCTTTTATGTGCATTGGTTAACAGACATGTAATAAATTGGATAAAGACTGTAAGCTGATCATAAGCACAAAAAAACGCTTAGTTAGAAGTTGCTCATATAAAAATGCAGCCAAAATAAACGCAATCAAGTTAATCAGGACTTTTATCTACAGTTATAGGTGTAGGTCATCCAAAATCAAATACAATTTTATCACTCCTAAGAATGTAGGTGACTTTTTTCTTCAGTAGAACACTAAAGAAGATTTTAGCAATTTATATGCTGCACTAGTTTAAGCACTACAGCATACCATTAGGGTGAGCAAAACAACACATGCAGTTCCCTCTTCATTGTAAACAAACCATTTTAGTTTACAAAATTCAATTAAATGCTTAGGACCATTTGCTGCTAATGAAATGTAATAATGTTGCAAATAATGTTCAAATTATTAAATCACCTTGCTAGTCCTCAATCTAATAATCAGTAGCTACAGTATTAGTGTAAGTTTTATTTGCTTCTATACGTTTGAATCTCACAATTTCGGTAGCTGTTGACTGATATTTTATAAATCATTCATTTGTTTCATTTAAAAACCTTATCAAAGGGATAGTTAACCCAAAAATGAAAATCCTATGATCATTTGGTCACCCTCCACTTATTCCAAAACTGTTTGAGTTTATTTCTTCTGTAAAGCACAAAGGAAGATATTTTAAAGAATAATGGAAAGCTGTAGCCATTGTAGCACAATATCTAAAGTATTTATTAAATATTTTGTTCATGTGGATGCCAATGGCTGCTAGTTTCCACCATTCTTCAGAATATATTGTTTTATGTTCAACAGAGCGTCACAGTGGCACAATGAGTAGCACAATAGATCGTCTCACAGCAAGAAGGTTGCAGGTTTGAGCCCTGGCTGGCTCAGTTGGAATTTCTGTGTGGAATTTGCATGTTCTCCCCATGTTCACGTGGGTTTCCTCCAGGTGCTCTGGTTTTCTCACAGTCCAAAGACATGCGCTATAGGTAAATTAAATAAGCTAAATTGGCCGTAGTGTATGTGTGCATGCAAGAGTGTATGGGAGTTTGCCAGTGTTGGGTTGTGGCTGGAAGTGCATTTGCTGCATAAAACATATGCTGGAGAAGTTAGCAGTTCATTCCGCTGTGTGAACCCGAGATTAATAAAGGGACTAAGCTGAACAACAACAACAACAAAAAAGAATGAATAAATGTTTAACAGAGGAAAGAAATTCATAAAAGTTTAGAGTGTTAGAATCTATAAGGAAATTCTTATTTCCTTGGTGAACTGTCCCTTTAACCATTTAATCGAATCAAAGACAAAAGTCACCTTAGTATTGCCTGAGGTAGAGTAACTTAACATCAATTATTTATTTTGGTTTTAACGTTTTTGTTGTTGTTGATGTTTATTTGTGGAATAAATGCTTTACCTTTCCTGAACTGAAAGGTACTCGTCAAACTATCTCTTACACCTCTATTCAAAGAATAATGATATTCAATCATCCTTACCTGGAGACTCCTAAAACTTATCATGTGGCACAATTCTTATGGTAATCACATCCCAGATGGGAAGTGCATTCACGGGGCCAAGTTTCAGCTGTGCTCCTCCTCCCATCCCTCTCCTTCCCGGATTGGACCTGCACGTCCACGGCACAGTCATTGCACGAGAAAGAGGGGGCTGGTCCGAGAGTTTCCTGATCCTCTCCGTCTAGCCTCGGTCTGACCGGACAGGCGAAAAACACTTTGGGATTTCCAGAACAAAAGCGACAACGGAGAATACAGACCAGCTGAAGTGGCGTCTCCACAAACAACCCTGAGAGAAATTCAAGCGGTGAGTTGTTTCACGCGAACTGCTGTAGTTTACACTCGAGAAGTTTTTAAAGAGGAGCCAGGACGGGTTAAATGCTCTCGAAGCTTGTTATTTTGGTCCTGAAAGCCACGCGAGGGGTCAGACTATAATGTCGTGCTTCGCATCGTGTTTACGTTATTTGAAGCGTTTGTTTGAATGGGGAACGTGTGTAAATTAACGAGATTCAACGGGAACGTGCGGTTAAAGTGGGACAACGGGAGTTTGTTTATGTGCGTTACTGAAGCGTGAGCGGATCCTGCGCCACAAAAGGGGTCGTTTATAAGAATTGTTTTGGCTTAACCCCTTGTTTATCATTCATTCATTCGCTTATAATGGCTCTTACACCTGCTTACTGTTTGTTGGATGAACACGCACAGTAATGACCTCATCTCACATCCTACGACCTGCGTCAAAAGTTCCCCACATAAGCTGATTATAACAGAGGCCACGTACAAACATCGGGCACTGACGTAATTTCAAACTAGTTTTAACCAAGTTTTTTAGGGAGAAAACTGGATTTATGGATTTCTCAGAGTGTATAGGAATGAAAGTACGTTTATGTCTGAAATTAAATTACAATTAATTATGAATGATTAAACATTTGTATAACAGAAGTCATGAATAATAGAATTATCACAATATTTTCACAAGATAAATAATTTGTTAATTACACACTTAAATATAAATGATAGGACTAGTAAACAACATGGTGACCAAAGCTTCCCTATCTTTAAGGGACTTTACGCATAGTCGAGTCATTCCATGTTGTTCCAAGTCATCATCTGATAAATGAGCTCACCACAGGCGGTCGGGAATTTGTCCTGTCAAGTTCACCTCTAACTTGTTTTGAAGATGACTGGCCTACTCGTTGCTTGTAGTGGTAAATTGCCTAATATTGGCAAAGCCTTTCCAAGCAGGATTGCCTAAGACTATGCTTGCGTAGACTATTGGCAAAGTTTGTTTCTGTGGTTCACAGTTCAGCTCCGTTTTAGACTCATTGAAGTCACAGGATGCTGCTTGAACAAGCTAAAATTCAAGACACTGTCATTGATTTACAAATTGATAACTATAAGGAGTTAAGGTGTTCTAGTAAGTACAAGAAATGTAATGACAATTAGATTTTAAAGTTATAACAAAAAAAATGTAATGTTAAACACATGCTCAGTATGAGATGATGTACGTCTGCATTGAAGATTGTAATGTGTTCTGTAGACAAACTGCAGAACTGGCAAACAAATGAGCTCGACAAATTGCACTAACTTTTGTTGCCTTTTTTTAACTGAGACGCTTACTATCTCTTGGCCATCTGTTGGAAGGTTAAACGAACTCTACATGGTTCTAGTGAGTTAAGCAAACGGGGGAAGTGGACCATTACGTGCTCTGGAAAGGGGCAAGGGAGTTGTGAAGGGCAGGGCCCCCCATCTTTTTTTGCCCAAGTCCACCAAAGTGGGGGTTGGGTGTGCATTGGTGTAGAGTATACGACAGGCTTTAATAAAAGGCTAATGTGTGGAAGAGAACGGGCAGGGGGAAGGGGTGACATCTGTCCTTCTTTCAACTTTAGAGAGGAAAGTCAATGGCTGGACTATAGAGTTGACCGTAAAGTCCCAGTTTAATGACTTTCAGGGAGTTTGATGAACAGCGTTCCTTGAAAGTCATGCATGAGTCATTGTGAGTTCCCGGATAGGCATCAATATTGTCAGAAGTCCAGCACTAATGTTTAAGGCATCTTGAAAGTGAGCAGAAAAAATCTGTTGTAGATTCGACCAGTCAAAACTGGACGGAACCCCACCCGTTTACCCATCAGCCAGCAACAGTCGACCAACCCCCAGCATTCCAACCTCTTCACCCCTTGCAAATCCGGCTTACAAACAACGAACAGGATTTTAACGGTTACCAAAAAACAACTGTCCAAAAGCCAATTTTTTTTTTTAATGGCATGATGTACATGTCATAATTTTGATGCTGCTCATGAGGGCAAATGCACTTTTCACAGCTTGGGCCTTAAATTATTTTATTGTTCATTTGTCTAATTTGCTGAACTGATTAGCATTCACAGTTTTTAAGACACATCTTTGAAAAAATCCTTCAGTTGCTTGATTTTAACGTCTGTGTTTTCTTTTTCATTTTTTCAGTCTGTGGCAATAGAGGTGTGACATCTCTGATGGCGACGCACAGTGTCCATGACCTGAAAATTATCTCTCCAAGAGGGGTGGCAGTAAAAAGGCAAGATGGAACCTTCACCAGCTCAAAGCAGCAAAAATCACCATACCAACACAATTCCGATAGAAAAGAACATGCAAGTGCCTCCAATCACAGACCAAGAGAGAGCAATGGCACCACCGCAGCAAGCTTTAGCACTAACAATAACTCTGTAGTATGTCTTCCTTTGGTGTCTGAAGGACTGAAGCTAGTGTGGACACAGTCTGATCAAACACGTGAGCTGGATAGCATTCCTGAACTTGTTCAGGCCTTTAACATCTTTCCCTACCCAACATCTCAAGAGGTCAGCACTCTTGCACGTGTGTGCACTCTTCCATTAGATAAAGTCAAAGTGTGGTTCATGGTGCAACGCATCAAGTATGGAATCAGCTGGGCTTCAGAGGACATTGAAGAGACACGGCTCAAGCTGGCCAGGCCAGAGCAAAAAACTGAGACTGAACATAAAGAGAGCAGTACTAAGAGGAAAAATGATAGTAAGGATTTTACAGAGGTAGAAGATCTAGCACAAAGTCCACAAATGCCTCGCAAAAGACCTAAAACTGAAAGTACAGAACCAGCAAAGCTCTCTCCTGCTCCCTCACGTTTCCGTTCATCCCTCCCTCCACCTCAGGATTCATACTACTACCGACAACCAGTAGAAATACCAGAGACGTCTCAAGCAGCTACCCCCCCTACAGCTACAGAGTCTCCAGTTGTATCTGAGCAGCCACGGCATAGCCGCTACAAAAAGTCCAAAGCCCAGTTAACTGCTCTGCGTAAGAGTTTTCTACAGGAGAACTGGCCTGATGAGACTGAGCTTCAGCGCTTACAAGATGAGACAAGCCTAACTCGTAATGAGATTCGAAAATGGTTTAGTGACAGTCGCTACCAGCTACGGATGGGTAGGGGGTTGCAAATGTCCCTCCCTGCTACTCAAGGAGAAAAAGATGATCCCAACTGCAGCCTGTCACCACAGTCTCAGGAGGCTCAGCCACTTTCTCTCACTACTAAAAAGCAAACTACGCAGCATGTTGACAACAAAGGCAAGGAAAAGACTTGTGTTAAAGGATCGCGAAGGAATCGGCCAAAGACCTCCCAGTTTTTCCAGCTTTTCCTGTCTAACACACTTGAGTCATTTGAAGAAGGAACAATAAGAGTGGATGAGGAGAAATGTTCAGAAGAAAGTGAGACGCAGAACAATGATGAAGTTGCAAGTGAACAGGAAAGTGAAGGACGTTGTGTGGCAACACCAGAGCCAGCAGCACCCACTTCCTCCTCCTCTCCTCCGTCCATCACCCCATCCAAGAAACACACAGCCAGGTCATCAAAATCTGCACGCAAAGCAAACTCTTTGAATACCTCCTTAAACCTCCCAGACAACTCGTCTCCTTCTTCAGTATTAACAGTGGCTGGACGACCAAGGAAAACAAAGGAGCAACTGACCATCCTGAAGGAGTACTTCCAGCACTGCCCATGGCCAAAAAGTGGCGAATACACAGAGGTAGTGGAACTAACATCTTTGCCTCGTGCTGATGTTATCCAGTGGTTTGGGGACACTCGTTACGCTGTAAAAAATGGCCATGTACGTTGGGTGCATGCTGACGTACGTGAGCAAGTGCTTGCTGAGATAGCAATGTTACAAAGTGGAGCTGCCGATGGCAGTGGAACCCCAGGAAGTGAAGGCAACAGGAAACGTAAGTCACAAGGGAACGGCACACCAAAAACACAAAAGTCTGCTGCAGATTCTGTAGATGTGAGTCCATTAGAGCTATATTTTCGACAGACAGGACCACTGCAAGAGAAAGACCTTGACAATCTCTGCCGAAAGTCAAAAATGAGTTACCAACAGGTGCGAGACTGGTTTGCATCTAAAGACAGTACAACACTGGACACAGAGCTCACTGTTGCTGATTGATTAATATAAAAGATAAAACTCTTTGTGCTCATGTCTGTTAATCTGCTGTGGGTCCTGTAATCAGGCAAGGTTGTTTTGAAGACACAGTATAAATTATCTTCATACAATACTGTTTTTTGTTAAAAAACTAGCATGTGAAGTATTTTCTTTAATACCTATTAAATATTTTGTTACTTTTGTTAACTTGTTCAACCAACGATATTGATAATTCAAAATGTACTTTTGGTCGTTGTAAACTGTTCAACCACATTAATTACTAAGTATTGTGAATCTGTTGGAGTCATATTTACACTGGCTGTTCCTCTAATTCCTTTCATTGTGTTAATGGTATTATTGTTTAGAGCCTTAACTGCTGCTGCTTAGAACTGATGTTATCCTCGGACTTTTTTCTTTTTTTTTTCAGTAACTTTGGCTTGGTTATCTATTAGGTACTGTAGTGTAGTTGTTTGGACCAGTAGCAATGCAAGATTGTTTTTGTCAATTTTTTTTTTTTAAATCTTAGAAGATTCATATGGCACTGTATATTGATAATCTCTCAAAATAATTAACCTTAATTTAGGATATGTAAAACCTGCCCCATTATCTTTCTTTATTATTCCGCACTTAGGAGTTATATGGATCAATTTCTCTAATTCTGCTACTTCATAATGAAAAAGCATTTCAATTCGAAGACATCCCTCCTCCACTACAGATCTGCTCAGTATCCAGGGAAAAGACAACAAAAGCCATGGTTTTTGTAAAATCTTGTGCCTTATTGTCTGCAAATTTCAGGCAGTCGAAACAATGCATTGGAATAAAATGACTAATTAAGTTTGACCCACTGTTGCATTTGTCTGGTTAACCTCTTAACAATGATTAAATGTGCCAAATGAACCACACTCCATTAGGAAAATGGTGTATGATATGACTTGAACTCTAAATCATTTAGGGCAGGGATGTTCAAACTTGGTCCTGCAGATTTTAGCTCCAATTTGCCTCAACACACCTGCATGGATGTTTTTAGAAAGCACAATAAGAGCTTGATGAGCTAGACCAGGTGTCTCTAATTGGGGTTGGAAAAAAACTTTGCAGGACACCTGCCCTCCAGGACCGAGTTTGGACACCCCTTATTTGGGCTATTCAGTATTAAGCTAAGAATTTAATTAGATTACAATTTCTAAAATTAGCATTTCTTTTAACAACACAAACACAAGCATATTGATTATATGTTCTATGTTTCTTCTGGTATAACAAATTGTAAGTTTATAGAATTATGCCTCAGTACTGTGACCAACTCATACTTTAAAAGGGACCAAACTAATATCTATAATAATAATATAATTATTATATTTAAAAATATATCATTTATTAGACTTATTTGTTTATTGTTTATATCCTTGTTCTAACTGAGCCAGCGTGCAAAAACTGACATTTCTTATTAACACATTTATTGTTTTTCCTCAGTTAAATGCGATTTCAATTACAATGTAAAATAAAAGCAAGTTATATTTTGTCCATATGTGTCATTTTAATCCTTGCAATATGCTAATTCAAAAACAAGTAAAACATTTAGATGATATTTTCAGATACAAAAAAGGCCAAATACTTTACCCACTGCAATGGATTTTATGTAAAGTACAACTGATAAACGCCTTTCCAATAACTTGGAAGATTATAATGATAATCCATGTGACTACTAGTTATGGTCTTGGAGACTGGAGGTAGGGTCTAGCCAGAAGCTGGAAATGAAAGTTGTTTGGAGTTGTATGTTGCGATCTACAAATAATGAGAAGGAAATATGCAATTGCTTAATAGAGCATCAAAATGTTTAGTCTTGGTAAATGCATAAATGGTTACCTTGTGGGAGTGTTAACTGAGCTGGGTGTCCCTTTAAGATAAAAAGAGAACATAAACACACGATAAGTCTGAACAATATTCCCCACCTTGAGTGGACTCCTTTTACTTTACAAACACCTATAATGATATTTGAGTGATATGATTAGTAGTATGATAATATATCACTTACTGAAACTGCGGTCTGGTACTGAGCTCACGGTAGAAATAGAGATGGATGACCCTGTTGGTGTCTAGACCAAATGAGATGTAAAACAGGGTTATAAACACTTGTCTTGATAACTGGTCACATTTAACTAAACAAACTATATACTAAAATATAGCAGAGAAGTCTACTCACTGTCATCCCAGGTCTGGAATGTCTAAACCTCTCCAATGTGTCACCCGAACTTGCATGAAAATCAGAAATTAATTTCATTACTCTTACAAGGGGATTTCAAATCGACCAAATAAAAATGACTAAGATGATAGAATCCAACCTACCTGACAGCTCGAGAATGAGGTGTGACTGTGGAATGTGATGAGAATAAATATTTACAAAACAGTGTTTGCTTCAAGAAGGCAAGGGGTGCATCTCAATCAGCTCTCTAGGTTCTGAGGTCATGAATCAGTATGTTGTTGATACTGACAGTAGGCATGGGCCAGTATAAGATTCTGATGTTATGATAACCTTGAATAGAAATATCACGGTATTGTTATTACTGCTCTAAAATATGTTCTTTATAAATGTTACTTGTAAACTTTTTTTCCCCTTTAAACACAATATATTTTAAGAAACTTTAAAAATATTGTGGAGCAGTAAACATGCCAGGCTAAATAATTCAAATAATCATCGACTTCTGTCCTTGTTTGTTTCAAAAACACAGATTTATTTATAATTTAAAATGGCATCTTTTGATATCTTTTCTGCTGAGATACTGTTTAAAAAAAAAAAAAAAAAACAGCGTAAATAAAAAAATCTTACACATACCTTAGGAACGGTATAGCAGAAAATTTTGGAGGTTTTAAAACAATAACAACAACCTTGAAAATGTTTTTTGTCCCATGCCTAGCTGACAGTAAAAACAAGGAAGTCCTCTTTGTACATCTCCTCTAATATTCATGAACAACAACAACAGATCTCATATTTTACATATTCTTATAACATAAAATATCATTTTAAGAGTTCACACTTAGCTGATGAACTATCAAAAGCTTGTTTGGCATGCTGTCCCGGGAGAGAGCCCTGAGCTCAAGGGATCCTCGAGCCCAGGGCTCCTTCCCGTTCGCAGAGCAAGAAGGGAGCTTGAGTTCTGTGGATCTCAGAACTCCCCGGCTGCAGTAGCTAAGGGAACACGTGAGAAAAAGGGGGCTAGGCAAGTGCTTGATTGTTATGCATGATGTAAATCTTTGGATGGTGGGAGGAAACTGGAGAACACAGGGAAAACCCACACAGACACAGGGAGAATAAACAAACTCCTCACAGAACCACCCACCGGCCTGGCGGAACCAGGGTCGACAGTGTTCTTGATGTGAAGCTAACAGGGCTAACCACTGGGCCGCCGTGCCGCCCGATCTATGGTAAAGGAGGAGAATGGGGAGGAAGGGGTGTTTCTACCAAACGAAGATAAAGTGGACTGAAGACTGGTGTTATTTATAGTAGCTTAGGGCTCATATGATTGGAAGATCATAATTTGCTAATACGAGACCGGCTGGGATAAATCATGAGCATGTGATCCTTTTAATATCAGTTTATAAATAAACATCACTTCAAGTACACAACAGATAAATTGTTTAATATACCTACAACATTTCATCTATTAATTTATTAATGTTAAACAACCGTTTTTATATTCTTCTGTATTTGTCTATATATTTGTTTAAGCTTAAACATGAATATGGCAGTCAGTGCCAATAGCCTAGCGGTTAAGTTTGCTGACATATTGCAGTGTTTCTGGCATGAGGCTACCCACACTTTACCTGGTGATGTGAGGCTACCCACACTTTACAGGCTATAATCCAAATAAAGGTGAAACACCCCTAAAAATAATTACACACACACACACAGTTGAGTCAGAATAGTCAGAATTATTATACTTTGATTTTATTTTTTATTTCCTAAATTATGTTTAACAAAGCAATTTCATGTCTAATAATACTTTTTATACTTGAGAAAGTTTTATTTGTTGTATTTCGGCTGGAATTGAAGCAGTTTAAAAAAAAATTAAAACCATTTTAGTCAAAATTATTAGCCTCTTTAAGCTATACAAACCATTAACAGAACAAACCATCATTATACAATAACTTGCCTAATTAACCTAGTTTAGCCTTTAAATGTCACGTTAAGCTGTATAGAAGTGTCTTGAAAATTATTATTTACGGTCATCATGGCAAAGATAAAATATAGAGAATTAGAAATGAGTTATTACATCTATTGTTTAGAAATGTGATGAAAAAAAATCTTCTCTCCATTAAACAAAAAATGGGGAAAGAAATAAACAGGGGGCTAATAATTCAGACTTCAACTGATATATATATATATATATATATATGTGTGTGTGTGTGTTTGTGTCTGTTGTGTCATTAAGTGTGGTGAGCTGGTTCATGTGATTTATTTTTCATGCTTCAGAACTACCATTGAGGCAATATTGTGGATTTCAATGCTCCCTGATTTTTATGATGCATTGTGAAAATTTTAAGGTACTGAATGTTTCAGTGCACTGGGAGACTCCCTGATCCATGCCCTGACTACTCAACCAGTGATCTGACTGAGAGGCACCCAAAGTTTCAAACTCAAGCCATGAAACTTGCTACCTGGTGATGTGACAGCCACAGGAAGAATCATCCTTGGAGTTCCACTATAAATGGGAATAATATATTTAGATTTCATATATATTAGCTTATAGTGTATTATATTATAGCACCTAAACACAATTATCTGCATTTACCCGTTAATTGAAAGACTCCCAGGAGATGTCTGAGTGTGTATGGGGAGAAAAATTACAGGAAACATGAGAGAGAACGAAAGGTATAATGCAAGTGAGGTGGAGCGCGCAACAAGAAACTCTCACCCTCCTCTGAGAAAGAGGCTTCTTTAATTCTTCATTCTCCTGTTTCAGCTCAGACACTTGCCTTAAATAAAACAAAAGTAACTAAGCAGTCCTATTATTCAAGTGTTACTAAATATATATTTGAGGTCCAAGTCACACAAAGACCACCTGTAGCACTGGTCACGGACTTCTTTCAGCTTTCGCTCCAGTTCCACAGACCTGCTTCTGAAGAAAGCGATGACACGCTCTTTCTGCCTTTTCTGGAAAATTGCAATCTGAAACACATGTTTTTCTTAGGCCTTGAAGTTATTGTCACGTGATAAATTCAAGTTCAAGTTCCAGGGTTAACAAGACAATGTTTGGATTTCCTTGGCCTTTCAAATGCAGTGGGTTAAAATTTAAACTGGGCAGGATGAAATGAGTAAGACCTGTGCAATATGTTCCAGTCGAGTCTGAACAAGCTTCACTGGATCTTTGAAAAACATCTTTTCCTGAGGCTTCATCTACAGAAAATGAAAGGAATACGTGGGTGACTGTATAATAAAAAGGATGATTTCTTTAAGATACACTTGTTCTCTAACTAATAATAACAATGCAATAATTAAAACATTTAAACTGTAATTTTTCAGACCATCACTCTCATGTAACATGTAAGCAATCTAAAACAATGGTATTTTCTGCAATCTTTCATTACTACTTCTTAGTTACTAATGAAAACCTGTTAGCACGTAGGTCTGCCTATAGCTATCAAATTAGCTAGTTATTGAGTGGTTCCTTTTATACTTAATAGTAAGTAGTCTGCACAATACTGATATTCTCTGCATGCTTGATTAACATGCTTATTTTTTGTTAATACTGACAGACTATGAAAATGTTGATCTGCCTGTATGTTTCTGATGACAAACTTACTCTGAAATTTCAGTTGCCATATGAAATGTCTCTATTCTCTTTCAGTACAGAACTGTATTCATCACTCAAAACGAGTTTAACCACCTAGCCCACATCCAGTGTGGACCAGGAGACCCTCAGGGTGAGCTTTGAAGATTGGGGGTGGGTAAAAATATGGTTCCCAGGGCAGACCAGACACACCAAGGCTCCCTGTGGATCAAGACCTGCTGACTGTGTGAAATGAGCACTTGTTCATCGGTGTGATTTAAACTCACCTGCTCAGATATGTGTAGGTAGTTGCAGCTGGCATGACAAACTCTGCACTGACCTTTAGGAGAACACAGACTTAATTGAACCACGCTACTTTCTCTAATAAAAGTATAAACAGGACATTAATTCACGACTTACTTGAATTCACGCAGTTCTCACAAAATATATGGCCACAAGAGGATACCGCGAACTTTTTCCCCTCCCTCACAAAACAGTTGTTACAGTGAAACCAGTTCATTTCACCACTGTGGAGACCAAACATTAACGTATACATGTGCTTTGTATATTTACCGTGACGTAAAGCTAGCAATTTTCTCATTACTCTGATGAGATTACCTCAAGTTTACAATGACAATTCAGCAGAAGCTAGTGGATTCACGGCCTACCGTCAAGTTAGTGAGAGTCACACTTAATCCAACAGATGGCGCCAAAAAGAAACCGTTAAATGGCAGTTCAACGACGACAAACTCGACGCCATCTAGTGGTCAGTTCCGTGAAGGTAACTTCATACATTTTGTACACATCATTTGGAAGTTGAAATGCCCAATGAACAAACCATTGGTTTCCCACACACACACAAAAATAAAATTATTATAGTCATAACTTAACCATCTTGCTGCGCGTATTAATTGCATTTGTTATGATTAATTGCCCTACCAATCAAGACTACAATGTAAATAATGATCAATTAGTCCTGACAGAAAGGTAACAAACAATGTTGATATTCTAACTTAATTTTAGAAGTTAGAAGGGCTGTTTTAAGTCAGTTGACTCAAGGTTAATTTGATTTAGATTAAATCTTTGCGGTGCACATTTAATTGAACATCCATTTCATTATTATTTAGGAAGTTCATAATTATGAATCATTTAAGCAAACTTTCATTCACGGAGCAAGAAACACCATTAAGCTTATTTTGCTCTGCAGAAATAGGATCAAGTTTATTTCAATAAAATGAATAACACCAGAATCATTTGAACAGTTTATTAATTTTAATAAACAGTTTAACAGGAACAGAAAGAACTCAACCCTTAGGGTGTCCAAAGCAGCTCCAGTTGCATGGAGAACAATCTGAAATAATTCAACAAATTAATAAAAAATAAATAAAAACTCAAAAGCAATTTAAATAAAGGGTACAAACCTGGACATGCCTAAAAAGGTATTTGACACTGTAATCACTTTGTAATAACCAGAGGCCCAAGCATAGATATTGCAGAGGAACCTGTAGATCACGCAACCAGATTATGTTCAGTACTAACACTTAAAATGACCAACTGTTCATCTTTATACCATTGAAAACACTAAACGCACCTGCTGTTATTTCCCTTTTCTTTGTTCCTTGACAACTAGTGTCACAACAGCTGCAGAGAGAACTCTGGGAAGGATCATCCAACAACACCCATCTGCAAAGAGAGAGAGAGAGCCTATTTGTAATACAAGGTAAACCAATTTGCATTCAAGTTAGACTCAATTGTATGAATTTAGGAATGTCAAGCAATTAAATATTCATACTGTGAGCTGGCACTGTCATATTGACATGCCTTCTTGCTACTGTCCAGAGCTTGAGGGTCCCATGCCACAAGTCTGCAGTGCAGGTAGATCTGAAGATGACATACATTTGTAATAAGGAAAGCGGTTTCCAAAAAAAAAAAAAAATAATAATAATAATAATAATTTAAAGCCAACTTACATCTTGCCCTGTGGCAAATCTGAAAGCTTGAAGACCTAATCGGATCTCTGAAAGCTGGTTTCTTGGCAGAAATCTAGAGTTTGTCTTTTTGCTGTCTACCAGACATCTTAAAAACAAACAGGTGGTTTATCAATTCCAAAATAAAGATATTAATCCACCAATCTTGAAAATTGTTTTAGAATAAAGCACACAATATTCAAACACATACCCGCTATTTGTAATTAGTGGGTGAATGAGAGACTCTGGACTCAATATTGGTGTTGTAGTGGCCCAACATTCATCCAAGAACAGTATTAAAGGCTGATGGCCCAATTGTTCAACAGAGGCGGAAATTGGAATTGTTGAGCCTAGAGAAAATGTTGTGGAAGTGGCCAAACCACTGAAGTCATCTACAAAAATAGAAAGCATCAGAAAGATCATTAAAATGGTCAAGAGGTTAATTCAAGAACATTTCACTGAGTTTATACCCACCATTCATAAGAGTCAAGTGAAAGGCCAAACCCCCCTGGCCATATGTTTGAAACGCCAGAGGATCATACAAAGGAGGAGACCACTCTTTTGGCCTGAGGGGAAGTCAATGGTTTAGATTTATAGTTATCAGAAGATCAAGACAGTGGAGCATATTGGTTTAAAGTTACACATTCTAAAATGGACAAAGCAATCACCTTTCAAAAACACATGCCACTGGATAAGACACAGTTTCAGCCACAGAAGTGATCTCAGTCTCAAATACAATCCCACCCATTGTCACCTAAGAAGAGGAAGAGAATGTGAACTTTGAGAAAAAGATTGAACTCTATGGGTTTCCATTTATTTATTTGAAAAAAATGAAAAAAAAAAAATCAGTATTGCTACACTTTTTTCTAAATGAATCTCAAATAAGACCAAGGTAAAAGGAGACCTGAATTTAGTTTTTTTTTTTTTAATGGTAATTATGGGGTTTAAACCAAGTACCACTTTACTCAAGCCATTAACTAATAGTTATGGGTTCAATGAATTAAGTGAACTTATTTAAACTCACCAGCCTCCTAATGTCACAGGCCCCAAATTCAGCATGAAACACTGCTTCGGACCCTTGAGCGTTCACAGATGCTCGAGATGGAGGGCAGCTCCCCAACCGGAGAAGAAATGGATCTATTTGAGAGACTACTTCACTCCATTGCACAGAAACAGAGTTTTCGCCGCAGTTCAGAGTGATTGCTAAAGGAAAGTAAATTTGGGTATTAGCTTAGAATCAGTTTGTGCAACAAATGTTAAAATCATTGTCCAACATAAACACTGCATTCTCATAAAAGGTGTAAATTACCTGCTCGTGCCACTATGGAAAAAGCCAGACAAAGCAAGACTACAAGTATCAAAAAGGACTGCATTGTGACGATGTACTCGCATCTTCTTTCAGGAAATACTTATGCACTTCGAATGCTAATTAACCTAATTAAAGGAGTCAAATGTGGTAAGCATTGATTGCGTGAGCTTAATTAACATCAGCTGCTAATGATTCATTTCTGATGATCACACGATGTTGGTTGTTCACAACTCAAGTGTCATTTTCAAATGATTTTTATTTTAAAAAATAAGAGGAATTTTCCATAGACTAGGGGTGTCCAAACTCGGTCTTGGAGGGCAGGTGTCATGCAAAGTTTAGTTCCAACCCCAATAAGACACACCTGGGCTAGCTATCAAGCTCTTACAAGGCTTTCTAGAACATCCCTGCAAGCGTTTTGAAGTTGGAGCTAAAATCTGCAGGAGGACATCAGACTCCAGGACAGAGTTTAGACACCCATGGTATAGACCCTTTTGAGGGATGTAAACATTAGCATTAGTTCAAACCTATTTTCATGTTTTATATTTTTAATTTTCATAGCTTCCAAGAATACAAAAAGTTAACATTTTTATAATGACAATTCTTTTAATTCCAAGTTATGATTGAACTGCCTCCAATAACAGTTATGAAGTAGTTTCAAAACAATTAGGATATGTTCATTGGATAATGACATAACATTAAAATGGTCTATTTGCTACCAACCTAGTGGGTTAGTTTTGTATTCCTGCTGAACAGTGTTAATTAGAATCACCTACTTACATTTTAATAACCTTACATTAATTATTCATTAATTAATTAAAGCATTACAAAAGGTTGCAAAAAAATGAGCTACATAAAAAGTGTTTAAATATTTTTATTTTGCACAACAACTCTCAAACTTTTCAGACAATTCTCAAACCTTTTCCTCACCATATGCTATTACACACTGAATTCTATAACATCCAACCTTTCTTAGGATTTACCATTTTTACATTGACATTTTATGACAAGCATTTAAAGACAGAGTCACGTTTCACAGTTTTTAATAGACAATGTAAAAAAGATGGAGCAGTAAAGAAAATAATCTGAAAATGGCAGCTCTTCATGACTCCTGATGAAGAATCCAGCACCTAGGAATAGACAAAGCGTTATTCCAGTTCACTAGCCAATCATGTATCTCAGCCATATTATATACAAATTAAACACCACTGACTCATCAAATATTTACAGCCTCACCAGACAGAACCTCAGCCTACAGAAGAAAAACAAACTACTATAATATACTATATTATAATATAAGTGAACCATTTGACAATTCTAAAGCATAAACCTTTTTCTGAGAGAAGAAACAGACAGTTGGGGCAGAAATTACTGGGACTCCTCAGTAAAAGTCAAAGGTCCTAACACAGATTTTAACACCAGTCCTTGAGGTGCTGCAATCCAAACACACTGAATGTTAACAAACTCACATTAAAATGGTTTACTGCATCTTTGGTTTAGAACTAATATGCTTTTGATTTACCAAAATCTGCATCCTTCTTTTCACGACCACTGCAGGTTGAGTCACAGCACTGGCAAAGAGAATTCTGAAATGGATCATCTAAAAGCTCCCACCTATGAATAAAAAAATAAATAAATATGCCTTAAAGTATATATAAAAAAAAATAAAATAAAAAAAAAGCATAGATACTAAAAGCATTTAATACCAATCAGATATTTACTTACTCTCCTGTGGCTTTATTATAATTGCACGCCTTCTTCGTTTTATTGAGGTCATCAGGATCCCATGCAATTAACTTGCAATGGATGTAAACCTGCAGGAAAAGAACAAGCAGCAACAAATTCAGATGTTTAAGAACTTGACAAGTTTCAAACAAGAGACTCACTCACCTCTTGTCCCACAGCAAATGTGAAAGCTTGAAGGTGAAGCATAATCGAAGAAGATTGAAACCTTGGTAAAAACCTGGAGAAACTCTTCTTCCCATCTACAAGACACCTGTAATGGGTTCATGTTGTCAGCTGTGGAATTACGTTCACTAATCTGCAAATATATACTGTCTATTTCAATTATTACAAACATACACACCCTTTATTAGTGATGAGTGGGTGTATAAGTGTATCTGCGTTCATTTCGGGTGTTGCAGATGCTACACATTCCTCCAGAAACAGTACCAGTGGCTGATGGCCTTGCTGGTCAACAGCAGCCCATATAGGTACAAAAGATCCCAAAGGAAAGACTGTGGATTCTGCCGGACCACTGAAATCATCTGAATAGAAGGTTTTAAGACAAGTTATCATTAGGAGATCAATCAGTTAACAGACAAAGGTTTTTCTCCATACTTACGATTGAGGATTGCCATTTGAAAGGCTAGTTGCCCATAACCTTGTATTTCGCCAGTAGAAAGACTCTGGAAGGCAGGAGTCCAACCTTTTGGACTTAAGATCGAATATGGTTATTGTACTTCACCAACGAGAATGATTTTGCCACAGTGTTGTGACCTTACCTGTCATATACACATCTAACTGGATAGGTAAAAGCTGGAGGGTAAGGTTTGGGCAATGGCCTGTAAGTTAGTTGGTTTTCGTACACTAAGGATTTCCACGTTGACTAAATGAAATAGAAAAATAAAGTTTATTAACAAGTTTTCAGGATTGAGTGATAAAAAAAAATCCATGAAACAAACTTACGATCCGTCTGAAGCCGCACGCACTGAATGGATAGTGAAATTCTGCATATGCTCCATCTTGCGTCATGTTAGAGAACACTGAAGGAAAGCAGCTACCCAAGAATAGACGAGCAGGATTTGCAGTCATCGTTTTCTCCAATTTCCACTTGACATGAACAGAATGGTCCTTGCAATTAACTTGTATATCTGGAAAAAAATGACAGAGGTGGAACTTAATAGTTTTTAGAGTTAAAGAAAACTGAACAACTCTGGCATCAGTTTGGTTACAAAGCAAGTACTAATTAGCAGGTCAAGCATCTTGGATCAGAATTCAAGTCCGCTAGCCCTGCTGAGGAAATCAATATTGGCTGGTAAGGTAAATTTTGAAGCTAGTGTGCTAGTTTCAATGCTGGTCTTTTCAGTAGGAGGTTAGACTATAAAATATGGTGGTTAGTCAACCAGCTAACAAACAAATAAACAACTTTTCCCACAACATGTTTCATAACTCCTTTTTCTTAACAATAGATCAACTTTTTTTAGTGCAGTAATAAACATTACCACCATTACTTTCGTCAGACTCAAATGCTGTGGCAACTGCAAAAACAAAAAGCCACAGGCAATTCATGGTCGGGTAGCGCAGACCAAGGAGGTGCCAACCAAACGCTCTCTGTAAAAAGAAGCTGAACTCTGTTTCTCCTCATCAGTAAAGTTAATTTATAACACCTGGCAACTAGGAAATAACAGCGTTTACTTTTGAACTAAACCATTTTCTGGTTTACACTTCTGCATTATCATTAGTTATACATTTGAGCAATATACAATTCTTTAAATGATTTTGGCAGCATTTTATTTGACTTTCATTTATTTCAACGAGACGACCAAATGCGGAACCATAGATAGAGATGAACCAAACCACCCGGAGTTAATTTAAGCTACACGGGAAATAGGGCAGTTTTTTCCTCTCATTTCACCAGAAGGGTTTTAACCGGTACATTTGCGTTAGGTTTCATCAATTACTTCTGTTAAAATATTATTATAATATTAAACATCTCTTACCATCGTATTCGTTAAAATACATACCTCAAAATGTTGATTAAAGTTAAGGTAAGCGATATTTATCATAGCATTTACATGATCTGTCTCTAATATGTGAGTTTCATGATTAAGTTAGTTGTTTTCAGAAACAATTTTCAACCGTGGTTTTATTATAGTAAAAGCGTAGTAAAAATTTTGGGCGCATCGCAATAACCACATTTTACTACAAATTAAGATAGAAACCTTGGTTCATTTGCGTATGTGTGCATGAATTGTTGCGTATTTGATTCTTGCTGAATTTAACCGAGCATTCTCTGCATGTTTACTTTATTATGTAAGCCATTGAGATGCATAAGAAATAATCATTTTTATATCACGTCTCAGACACTCACAGGAAAAGAAATAGAAATTGACATCGAGCCTACAGACAAGGTAGGAATATTATGATGATAATATTTCTGTATTTTTGAAACTAAATGTGGAGGAAAACCACTGAAATCTTTTCCCAACCAAGGTGGAGAGAATCAAAGAGAGAGTGGAAGAAAAGGAGGGCATCCCGCCACAACAGCAGAGACTCATTTACAGCGGCAAACAGATGTAAGGTTGCAGCACAGCGTCATTTTGATGCTAAATGTTAGCCATGATTCTGAAATGATCTCTGCTTTATTTCAGGAATGATGAGAAAACCGCTGCTGACTACAAAATCCAGGGAGGATCTGTCCTGCATTTAGTTCTGGCTCTCAGAGGAGGAGAAAACCTGCATTAGTCCTGCCAGTGTCTTTCCTCTAAATTTAATCAGTTAAGCTTGTAAATAGTAGAAATGTGTGTTATCATATCCATCGAAATCAACAGCAGAATCTCCAGAAGGCTGTGGTGCTCAATGCCTCCAGTGGACACTTGGCTTTGCATAAACCATGTTATTGTCATCACAACTGCTCGGGATTGAGAGAGCATCATACAGATGCTTTCTAAACACTGTTTACAGTCTTAATGCGAGCTTATGCTCTAGCTTGACTCAGATTCTGCAGTATAAAGCTGTGCACTGAAACAACCCCTTTTATTCATGGTTTAGGAAACTCCTGTAAAAGAGCTTATAGAAGTTTGATTATTATTTCTATTTTAATCAGTAATTTTAACACACCTCCCTTATTCAGTTCTTGCGCATCTAAAAGAGACACAGATGTGTATCATCTTCCCAAAACAACACGTTATACCATATCTGTTTTATTGTATTATGTTTTGATGAAAGAGGAATAAACAATGGATATTTGTCATTTCACACACACACAATGAGGTTGAGAAATATGTATAGGACATTTTAAGTATGTGAAATGGCAAGTTCACATTCACCGTCAATAAAAGGATACGATGTTGGTGCAGGAATGTCCTGAGGCTGAAGAGAATTAATAATTGACAAAGCAAAGATGCTGAGGAAAGGCTTGATACTAACAGTAAGGCAACTGGAGCTCAGGATGTTTTCATTCCCAGACAATATCATTTATGGGGCTTCTCATATAGTTGTTTAGTGACAGTGCATAAAAGACCTCATCTAATGATGGTGTACATTAATTTGTTCACTCTTGTGTGGTAATAACAACAGCACATAAACCACACTTTTGTTCTAGACAATTCAAACCAAGGTAACACATCATAAAAATCTGTCGTATCAAATCTGTTCAGCGAGGTTGACGGGCAGCTGCCCATTTCCACAGATGACCGTTTAACGTCTGGATTCACATAGGTCTGTCACAAGACTCCGATTGATGGCTGACTGTTCCAAGACGGACTGGGAAAGGAGTCAATTTGTACTGTGTCCTGAAGCATTGTGCCCTGATCGGAGTAAGAGACTCGAACCCGCATTTTAAGGCTGACCTGTAGAGAAAAAAACAGTATTATGAAGTTAAGAGGAGTTTTAAGGAAATTATGTTTTTTATTATTCAGCCTCATGTCATGTCAAACCCTTCGTTACTCTTTAGAATATAAATTAAAATAAAACCTGAGAGCTTCCTCATCATCCATAGACAGGAGTGGTTTCGAAAATATCCTCAGAACTGAGCATATGAGTCTGGGGTGTTTAAACTCGGTCCGTGAGGGTCGGTGTCCTGCATAGTTTAGCTCCAACTTCCTTCAACATACCTGACTGAAGCTCTTTAGTATTCCTAGAAAGAGCTTGATTAGCTCGTTCAGCTGTGTTTAATAGTGGTTGAAACTAAAATATGCAGGACACCGGCCCTCCAAGACCAAGTTTGGGCAGTTCTGCCTTAAGTGGTGTTCAATCGGAATGTTATCAGAACATGAAGAATATTTCTGTGTGCACATAAAACAAAAATAACAAATTATTAAGTTTTTGCTAATTATTAAGTTTTTGTGTGTGTCACGCTTAGTTTTACTGCTCAGGAATCTACATGACCGCAAGTTATCTTCAGCCATGTTTGTGGACAAACGCAGAGCATAATGTAAACCAAGGGAAATCACAACAGAAAATAAACATTTTATACTAATAAATATTGAAAAACATCTCACAAACACTCTTAATGAAGTGGAGTAACATGTTTATACTTTAAAAACGCTCAAGTTTATTTGAAACTGACGGTATCAACGAGCTGCTGTAGGAAAACAGTTCAAGAAATAATTTATTACTGGAGTATATACAGTTGAAGTCAGAATTATTAGCCCTCCTGAATTATTAGCCTCCCAGTTTATTTTTTTCCTTAATTTCTGTTTAACGGAGAGAAGATTTTTCCAACTTATTTCTAAACATAATAGTTTTAATAACTCATTTCTAATAACTGCTTTATTTTATCTTTGGCATGATGACAGTAAATAATATTTTACTAGATATTTTTCAAGACACTTCTATACAGCTTGACATTTAAAGGCTTAACTAGGTTAATTAGGTTAACTAAGCAGGTTAGGGTAATTAGGCAACTTTTTGTATAACGATGGTTTGTTCTATAGACTTTCGAAAAAAAAAATAGTTTAAAGGGACTAATAATTTTGTCTTTATAATGGTGTTCAAAAAATGTAAAACTGCCTTTATTCTAGCCGAAATAAAACAAATAAGACTTTCTCCAGAAGAAAAAAACATTATCAGACATACTGTGAAAAATTCCCTGCCCTGTTAAACAGCATTTGGAAAACATAAAAAAAGAAAGCAAGTCAAAGGGGGCTAATAATTCTGACTTCATATATTTGTTGGAGCCATTGGTGTTTATGGAAGATAAGGAAACTCAAATTTCATCCAAAAATATGTATATTTGTTTTCTGAAAATAAACGCAAGTCTTAAGGTACTGGAATGACCTGAGTAATTAACAATTTTCATTTTTGGATATAGTGTGCCTTTACTGAAAAAAAAATAAAAACAGAACTACAGCTGGAAGGACTTGCCTTGTTTGGGTTGTTGAGTAAAACAGTCTGTGTGACTTGACCGAGGCCATGTGCTGCAATCACATTCCCACTCGGAGCCTTCATTTGCAGCTGAACACTCTAGACAGGGAAAATAATAGGGTTAAAACAAGAAATTCTAAAAAATGTTAATTTATTTTGTTCATATTAGTACTAAAGTAAAGAAAAAAAATGATTCATTAAGAAACAATTGTCAAATAAAAGCAATAAAAATAACATTAACGTAAAAAGACAAAAAAAAAAAAAAAAAAAAAAAAACCAAACGGCAACCAAATGGATCAGGAGTTCAGTGATTTATTCATTCATTCATTTTCTTTTCAACTTAGTTCCTTTATTAATCCGGGGTCGCCACAGCGGAATGAACCACCAACTTATCCAGCATATGTTTAACACAGAGGATGCCCTTCCAGCTGCAACCCATCACTGGGAAACATCCATACACACTCATTCACACACATATCCACTACAGACAATATGGCTTACCCAATTCACCTATACAGCATGTCTTTGGACTTGTGGGGAAAACCGGAGCACCCGGAGGAAACCCACGCGAAGAACATGCAAACTCCATACAGAAATGCCAACTGACCCAGCCGAGGCTCGAACCAGCGACCTTCTTGCAGTGAGGCAATCGTGCTACCCACTGCGCCACCACAACGCCCGAGTTCAGTGATTTATATGAATAAATACCTCTGCATGCCATTTATAACTTGTTCATATGGTTGCTGACAATGATAAGTTTGAAAATGGAGCAGGTAGAGACCTTAGGTACAGCTGCTTGAAGAGTAAAGTTGCTGATGTCATTCTGAGTGGAGTTTGAGGCAATAAGAGTGACTGTGATGTCTGTGTCTGTCTGACTGTCACACTGGATCTTCAGGCTCACTCCATTCTTCTCATACACCGTCACAGCAGGAACTATATGCAAAAAAAAAAAAAAAAAAAAAACGCACATCAACAAAACTCCTCCACTGGCAGATTTGTACAACTTTTAGAACTTTTCAGAGGTTTGCGTTTTGATTTATTTAACCATTAATATTATTGTAATTTAAAATATTGTTGTTGTTTTTTTTTTAAAAGTCATTTATTCCTGAGATTAAAGATAAATCTCCACCAGCCATTATTCCAGTCTTCAGTGTCATATGATCCTTCAGAAATTACCTCAATTTGCTGAGAAGGTTATAAACGGAGTCAGCTCTAAGTTGGTGGGACTTGAGCTCTAAGTAGGATGTTCAAATCTGGAGTTTTTATTTATTTAATGTCTTGTACACGAGTCTAATTTTGTGCTTTATGAATGTCTACACCTACTACGATTTTGAGTTGTCAAGGCCATTTCAAAGATCTTCTAAACACCTTGCTGAGAACCATTAATTTATTGACTCATTTCTTTATAAAAAGGCAGTCAGACCCCAAACTTACTTTGGTTACTTTGGAAATATGTGAAACAGGTGTAGAAATGGTGAATTATGCAGGAGCGTGTTCTCACCTGGCGTGGGCTCCAGTCCTCCCAGCAGGTCCAGAAGATCGGCACTAGAGGTAGTTGTTGCAGTGCTGGTTGGGGCAGAGCTAGGCTGCACTGGTGTGTCCGTCCCACCCAAGAGATCCAGAAGATCACACACCTTAAACAGAAGTGTAAATTATGTACATTTCTATTTTTTTATGATTTACTGTAAGTTATCCTATAATAATGACCTGGTTTGCTGGCTCTGAGAGCAAAATGGGCTCAACAGGTTTGGTTTTGGCTGGCTCAGGCTCTTTAATCTCTCCTGATGAGTCTCCATTAGTGTGGCCTGGTGAGTTTTTCTCCATCAAAGGCATTCTCTCCAACACCGCAGCTCTGAGAACAATAACGTTAATTGCTCACTAATGATCGGCTTGATGATCATCTGCACAATTCTAGCATGATCTCAGGGTGTTCGGTGCAAATAATAGGCTATTAATGCGCTAGTTCATTTTTTTCCATTCACTTGTTTCAAACCAATTTGAGTCCTTTTTTTCTCATATGTAACAAATATAGTTGAAGTCAATTTTATTAGAGCTCTTGTGAAATGTTTTTTTTTTTTTTTTTAAAACATTTTAAAAGGTCAATATCATTAGCCCCCTTAAGCAATATATTTTTTAGATAGTCTACAGAACAATCCACTGTTATACAATGAATTACCCTCACTTGCCTGGTTAACCAAATTAAGCCTTTAAATGGCACTTTAAGCTGTTTAATTAAAAGCATACACCAGCTCATTATTTAACAATGGTTTATTTAAATAAATCTATAGAAATAGAAAATCTGAATTTGATATTAAATATTTAAATGTGTCTCTTTTTTATGTTAAACACAAAAGAAGTTATTTTGAAAAATGTTGATAAGCATCAACCTTTGACATTTATAGTCAGAAAAAAAACATACACTACCTGACAAAAGTCTTGTCACCTATCTAAGTTTTAGAAACTACAATAACTTGACTTCTAAATTATCATTTGGTGTCAAAGTGGCTTATATGAAAGGCAAAGGCCTCTAGATTACGCTTATTTTACCAAAATAAAATATGATCATGCCTTTATTTTTAATTATTTAATTAAAACAGTAAGGTCTGACTTTGTTTAGACAAAAGTCTGGTCACTTAACAGAAATAATGTATAGTATAGAATATAAAGTCACAGTGGAAAAATAATTAATAGTGTATGACTCCCATGAGCTTGTAGGACTGCATACATACATCTCTGCAATGACACAAATAACTTACTAATAAAGTCATCTGAAATGGCAAAGAAAGCGTTCTAGCAGGACTCCCAGAGTTCATCAAGATTCTTTGGATTCATCTTCTGCCTTCTCCTTCATCTTACCCCATACATGCTTAATAATGTTCATGTCTGGAGACTGTGCTGGCCAATCCTAGAGTACCTTGACCTTCTTTGCTTTCAGGAACTTTGATGTGGAGGCTAAAGTATGAGAAGGAGCGCTATCCTGCTGAAGAATTTGCCT